AAACGTGCTCCACGTTCTATTCAGGAAGGTTTGGTAAAACCAACAAGTCCCGATAGACTGGGAAGAAGGACAACTCATCAAGATACCAAAGAAAGGAAATCTGCTAAAGTGTGGGAACTACACCGTCATTACACTACTATCGTACCAAAAATAGTTTTTAACAGTGTCGTTAAACCGGATGAAAGATGCATTAGATAACAAATTTGAGATCAGCAGGCTGGATTCTGTAAGGATTGGTCGCTCATAGACCGAATCGCAACACTACGAAACATTGTAGAGCAGCCAATTGAATGGAACTTGTCATTATGCATCAACTTTCTTGATTATGAGAAGGCGTTTGACAGTGAGAACAGAAGAACATTATGGAAACTTCTTCGACACTATGGAGTGAGTAGACGAAAATGTTGTCAACATCATCAGAAATTCCTACGACGAACTGCACTTCAAAATCGTGTATGGAGGACAGCTGACAGACGCATTTAAAGTGAGGGCCGAAGTCAGACAAGACTACTTACTCTCCCCCTTCCTCTTTCTTTCGGTGGTCGACTGAATTATAAAAACCACGACATCTGAGGCGAAGCACGGAATACAATGAACAGCTTGAAAGAGGCTAAATGATTTGGACTTCCCAGATGACCTAACTCTTCTATCCCATATACACGAACAAATGCAGATGAAGACAACTAGTATAGGTGAAGCCTGTGAATCAGTAGGCCTCAACATGCACAAGGGAAGAAACAAGATCCTCAAATATATCACTGAGAGTACGAACCCAATCTCACTTTATGGAGAAGCTCTAGAAGATGTGGAAACGTTCACGTATCTGGGTTGCATCACTGATGAACAAGGAGGATGTGATGCAGATGTGAAAGTAAAGATTGGTAAAGTAAAAGAGCAGCATTTCAACAATTGAAGAACATATGAAACTAAAAACAACTGGTTACAAGCTAGCATCAAAGTCAGAATCTTCTATACCAATGTCAAGACAGTTAGTCCTACTGCGTGGAGCTGAGACTTTGAGATCTACTACAACCATAATCGAAAATGTACGTGCATTTATAAACAATTTTCTATGTGAGATACTGAATGTCTGTCGACCGGATCCCATAATCGAAAGCCTACTGTTGGAGAGAACAAACAAAGGTCAGGCTGGATAGGAAATTAGGAAAAGATACTGGAATTGGATAGATCAAACATTGAAGAAATCATCAAACTGCATCATGAGGCAAACACTAACGTGGAATCTGGAAACGAACAGGAAAACAGGAAAGCTGAAGAACACACTGCTTTAGGAATTGAAAGTAGACATCAAAAAAATGAGTAAGAACTGTAAAGAACTGGAAAGGTTTTTCAGGATAATGTTAGTTAAAGAATGCAAATAATGGCCTATTCTTATTCACAAGATGTAACTGGTATAATTAAGTAAGTAATTCTATCTTCAATGGTTAACTAAATAATTAAAATCCTGTGAATATTAACCATCAATAAATAATTTGTTATAAGAATAGATATACAAACTACCATACAATATAACTAAATTATACCGCTGAATATTCATTTACACAATTGGGTGATATATATATATTCAGTAAAGTATGCATCATAACCATTATTTATGTAAAATATATTTTACAAAGATGATATCATATTTTATGTTGTAATGACAACTTTATATTATTACAGTCTTAAGGTTTTACAACTATTTTTTAGATAAAAGAATTCTAATCAATAAATTAAGTACAAACTGAGTTACCTTTATTACTATGATGGAATGTAATGGTCGATCAAAATTTATGCTGATTTTCATAATAATGATCATTAGTTGATGAGTAAGGTTGCGTTATTATTTTTTTTGGCGGATTTTGAATTTTATATTTCTTTATCTAGTTACACTAGGTCAAGTTACAATTTCTTTGTTGTTAAGGATCAGTAGTAATGTTCTATTGAATAAAACTGATTGTAATAAGCAAAAGGAGAAAAACTTTAATGTTCACTATATATATGTGTATGAAATTATCAATGTTGGATTTCGTGGAGATTGTAGAATGTTCAAAGTTTTTATATTATGAACTGGTCTTAACTAGACCTCGTCGGGAAATCAAAATGCATTGGATAGCTCAGTGTTAAAGCGGTTAGGCTTTCATGAACAAGACTGAAATTTTCAGGTTCGATTCCCTGTGATGGATTGTGGATGTGATCCACCGAGGTGTCCCATACTAGGACGAAATGTCTGTTCAATGCTTCTTGCTTTTCAGAATGTAAAGTTGTTACAAAGTACCCTTCACATATCGATAAACTCTTTTCAAGTTCAACAGTTACACATGTAAATTAATAAACTAAAAAATGGTCAACTAAAAAACTAAAACGTGATCTAAAATCAAACCATGGAAAATTAGTATTGTCTTTAATATAAAACCAATTTGTTAGTGTTGAGATGTTTAGAATGAAATGTCAACTTGAATGACTTTTTATAATAAATAATGTTGTGTAGATTAATAATCAGGGTTTTCATTATCCCCACGGCAATTTGTTTATCCCCCACCCTTTTTAAAATTTTTTTCAACCCCAAAATTACAATATTTTTCATCCCGTTTCGTCCAATGAAATGGCTAGTTTTAAAGTTCGTTTTAATTGGTTAGTTATGTCCTGTCAAATTGTTATAAAACATCAGTACTTGTCGACGAAGTACATTTTAATCATCATTATGGCGGAGAGTAACGTGCCGAGTACAAGCGCTGTTGTTTCTCACGTAACAGAAATGGAGGAAGTCTTTTTGACAACCTTGTTTCTCGTTGCGTTCTTGATTGCCGTGGGCTTAATGTCAACCAATAATCAGGGTGAATATAAGTAACATGAGGTGAGAAGGGAATAATGATGTCATTACAAATCAGATCAGTTGGTTGATAGAAGACTATATCGTATAAGGTTACATAAATTCAATAAGAAATAATAAAGTGAGGTGATTGCTAACTAGATTATTCGTGTGTTTGAATGACAAATCACTAATAGGAAGCAAAATGCCCATTATAGTTACTTTACCACTATTTATGATGGCTAAGGATGATTCAACTTGAAATATTTAGATTTTGTGATTAAAAAGAACTTGGTTCAGTAAATTATCTTTCTACTAACAATTTAGAATTCTAGTCTTACTTGTTCATGCAACAATCAAACAGATGTACAACTCAAGAGGCAGATGTTTACTGGAGAAGGAAAAACAATTAGGACCGATATCAAAATTTGATAGATGGATATTGAATCTCATGTATGTATTCGAAATTGCTTGGTTTGTATTACTGTTCATCGCTTTAACAAATGATTTAAGAGTAATATATTCTTAGTATAAACTTTTCATTACTCTGAAAACTGTCTACAGGCAGCTTTTCATTACAGTTAAGGGGCTCGAGATCTGACTCCAGCTAGAATGGGTGATGATTACTATCGAAATATACATCCTGACTATTCTCGTATATGATTATTGACTTAACTCGCGTTGGTGAATAACGGAATTAAATAAGTCAAATACGAGAATGACGTTTGAATGTGTGTATTTCATGCTATCGTTGATCTGGACAGATAATCGAGTAAATGAAGTAAAGGAAGAGAAGAAGAGGGAAGCAAAATGAAATGATGCGCGGGGAAGACGGTATGTGAACCAACTCGTTTTTATCAAACGTGAATCAATATAGTCAGAAAAAAAACGTTACAGACAAATAATGAATAGGGTGAGTAATTAACACACATACGATCATATAAAAACAGTTAGGATTGATAAGTGAATAAGTGACAGAGTAAAAATGTGGCTTGAGAAGAATGAATAGATTGATCTTTCCTGAAGATCGAATAACCTATGTGGGCTTGATATAGCACCAGCTACTACAACAGTTGACAGACATCAGGAATATCATCTCAATATCATGTAGATTATTTCAAAACATGAAAACTTTAATAGAAATAAATAATGAACCATTTAAACATTGATTGAATTCATCAAATGGTTAAATAAATTTAGCAGCTGATTATCGAATTACGTATTAAATCATTCTATTCGATTTATAGTATTCATCTATGACTTCGTATACAATAAAGTAATTTCTAGGATTCAGTCACGTATTATTAATTTCTTAGAGACGACTATATCGATCCATCTACTCGACATCCAAAATCAGGATAATATAAAGATAATTCACAATATAATCAGTTAGTTCTGATTATAGCCAAGAGAATTATATAAATAATTATGTCTAAACAAAATACTATTCCCATATCACTATTTATTAATTGACTATCAGTTCATATTTAAAAATACACGTTCAATGTATTTCGTTATTATTATCAATCATAAACTTCATGGTATCTCATAGTAACTAGGATATTTTTTTAAAAACTTGAAATAGATAGTGAATCTTTGGAACATTATTATTACATATCTTAGAGATTTAATCAATGATTATAGAATATATACAAGTATAACAGTAAAATATCTACTCATAGAAATGAATCATTCCTTTATCTACAGTACATTTACACACACTTTATAAACTTTTAAGATCAGAACAAATGTTTATTCAAGTATACCTGTCTATATAACCATATAGATAATTTCACTAAAGTGCTATTTTTTTTTCTCTTTTCAGTCTTTTTCTTTGTTTTGTTTTTCTCTCTTATTGTACCTATATACTCAATGAATAATGAACCAATCTATACTTATTTCATTCTTTACACATACAAACATCAATTTCTTTTTATTGCATTTATGCACATAGATCGATAAAAGTAAATTTTCCATTGTTTTTTGATAAAAAAAAAGAGAGACTTATGTGAAAAGATCTATAATATCTGTGATGGATACAACATATTTATTAGTAGTATATAAGTATGAGTGTATGTATGCACATATAAGTGTATTTGAGAGAAAAGTAGTAGAAAATGTGCGTCAGTATTGAATTCAAATAATTTTATATATTATTAGTACTTATTATTATTCAGATCAGTTTAGTGTACGATTACAGTTGGTGTACAAAGTTTGAAACATTTCAATTTATTCATTATCATTATAAATAACAACAATGGGACGAATACAAATTGTAAGTGATGATATTTCATTATTCACTATTGATAAGTATTTCCATGTTTAAATAATAATAATCATTGATTTTTGGATTTATACAATCAATCATTATGTTACTTACTTACTTACTTACTTACGCCTGTTACTCCTCGTGAAGGAGCATAGGTCGCTCACCAGCATAACCATTATGTTAGTAGTAGTTTGATAAATGTTCATTTTTTAAAATTTTCATGTCATTAGATATTCATGCTCTGATTCATAAGACTATCCCGTGTAAACTACAATTTATTTAGGTATATATATTACTGCCTAATTTTACATTTTAAAAAAAAAATGAAAAATAACCGTTTTAAAATGAGATACTATGATCAGTATTATTCCTCAACATCGTCATCATCTACATCTTCTGATATTGATCAAAACAGTGATGACGTTCGTTATTCCTGTTATTGTATTAATTCTTATATATGAACAAAAAATGTTCTTAAATAATATATTTGTAATAACCTAATGAGTAGAGAAATTAGATTTTCTGAGGTTTCATGACTTAGTGGTTATTTATTCTCTGAAGAAGTGGCTTACACTCAGTCACAAAACGTCGGAAAATCCAATTTTTCTATTCATTGAGGTATTACAAATATATTATTTATTAATTTATAACAATCTACCTAATGCTCAATTTATTGGAAATTATCAAATCAAACCTTGGTAATGATCAAAACAGTGAAAACGTTCATTATTCCTGTTATTGCGTTAAGGCTTATATATGAACAAAGAAAATTCTTTTCAATAAATTCCCTTCATGTTCTACAGTGATATATCGAAATTCTGATCTGATCTGATTACTCCTGTTACTCCTCGTGAAGGAACATAGGCCGCTCACATATATAGAAATTAGTAATCTAAAAAAATTGGTCAGGTTTAGGGTAAATTGCATCGTTTAAAGTTATATTATGTAAATTTAAGACTGTTACGTTGAGATGACTCAAATGCAAGGTTAACTTGAATTAGCCTATATGTGAAGTGAAATGTTTTTTTAGATTCATGATCCGAATATATATATGTCAGATAGGATGAGAGAAATAATGATGCAATTACAAATCCTCATAGTTATTATACTTTTTTTATGGCTGCTATTAATTTAACTCTTATCTGTTTTTTTTATGTTTAATAATAGGTTTATTCACCTGATGAAAATGTATCTGGACGAACTAACCATCCTGGTAAACAGGTAGTTGATCCACGTACTGGTAGGGTAATCAAAGTGAAACGAGAAACTCCAGATGATTACTGTAAGTATTATAAAAGAACTCAATTCATATTATAGTATAATATTGTTTATTATTAAGCTAGAGACATCATTGAATAAATAATGAAAAGAAATGTGTACTCAAACATTTTTTCAATTGAGCACATATATTTTATTCATAATGTTCTTATAGTTTTAAAATGCTCAGGTATTCATACGTACGATATTGACAAATTACCTTTAAATGAAATAGGATTTATTTAAAATGTTTTTCAATGTTAACTGGTGAATAACTAAAACACTAAATAGTACTAAGAAACTTATTTATCCACGTTTATGAATACTTAGAATAATACACTTTGAAGCTTAAATACTATGGAACTTGAGGTCTTCTACAAATTATAGTATGATATGATTGTCTGAAATGATTACAATAAGATAGAAAAATAATATTTCAATCTAATTATATTACTAACAAGATTTTTATAGAATAATATTATATATACTGACATGAGTTATACTACTAATTAATAATTACTAATTCTAAAATGTCACTTGACTTAATTCTATCTCATTTTACAACTAAGTATAAAGTAAAACAATGAAGCTTGATAGAATGAACAAGTTTTCTTTTGGTTTTACTCCCTACTTCCTTCCTTCTAATTCAAATTCAAATAGAAATATGTTGTAATATGCCATTCCTTTTATATGTTGAATGTTTATTTAGTTTTATTGATCTCAGATAAGTAAACTAAATGCACAGAACTTTTTGTCTGAATTGATGAATCAGAATATAAAGATCATTAACCAAAATAATTTAATAAAGTAGATACATTCACAATACAATCCAGAATTAGTTCTTAGGTATATTTTAGTCAATTGCAATTTTTTTTACTAGTGGTTTAAAAGAGTACTGTATTCTTACTTTAATATACAGAATTTTGAATATCCATACTTAGTTTAGCTTACCTTCTATCATAACCATAAAAGAAATGTACCACCATGATACTAGACATGATTTGGAAAATCAATAATACTCCAGAACGTTGTGCACACACCCCTACACAAGAACTCTAATACAAATTTATAAAACATCATCCTAGGAACTACGTAACTTAATCGTTAGGTAAAAATATTATTATTTCATTTTCGTCTTCGCCTACTCAACTGTTCATCTGTTTGTAGTGTTAAGAAAGAATTTATCTAGATCTAGTTAATTTCAAACAGTTATCTAAGTTTCTCCTTGGTGCCTTCCAGAAACTAGGTTTACCGACTGACCACTGAAAGAATTATTGTTACGTTGTACTTTTAGTGTCCAGTTCAGCTTCAACAATGAAATATATAGACAAAGAGATGGGCTGGCAATAGGGTCTGCATTGTGTCCAATTTTAGCAGATTGCTTCATGACAAAACTAGTAAACAACCAACTCAGTTCGATGATTAATCATTTTGATCTATACATAAGATACATGGAAGACACATTTGTCGTTTGTGACGATAATAATGAATTAGAAAATATATTAAAAACGTTTCTGGAAGGCATTAAGGCGGAACCATATTCATCCCAATCAAAAAATGTTCTCTATATGATGTCAGTCATTAGTTAACATAACCCATAAAAACTCCATACACACATAAACCGATAGTACACTAGTATGTGTGTCCAAAGAAAATAAAAAAACAAACTAACGAACCTGAGATTAAGTCATTTTGACCAAGTCCATTTAATTTCCTCTTATTTTTCTTTCTTTTTTTCTGCACATTTTTTCCCAATAACTATCACTTAGACAATTGGTTTCACGGACCAATTCTTTGATTAAATCTTATTAAACGAATAAAATTTATTAGAATATTCATTTGTTAGTAAAAACTGATTAATGTCTAATCAGCTGGATATCAGTGTATAGTTATTATTTGATCATGTAGTAATTAATTTAAGCTTTGAATAATTCACGAGTATTATTACATAACATGTGAATAGTATAATAGAGGTAAAATGATAAGTAAATGTTTTATTAAAGTGACATATATCAAATAGAAATCTATTCTAAGACTTATTAAGCAAATATGGCTAGTGGCTAGCAATGGAATCCAGTAAGACGCGCGTTTCGTCTTATTTGAGACTCGTCAACTGGATGTACCTGCATCTCAGGGTTGAAGTTCACTCGAACCCAGTACCGTTCGATTTAAATATCATCGCGTTATCCACTTAACTACTGAGTTCTGATAGCCACCTGCTTGTGCAATGGGGTGAAGTTTAAATTCACTTGGTGTTGTTTTACTTGCGTCTTCCCATTGTTATTTAGAACTGCAATTGATCAGTCTCATTTTAGCATATGTGCATCCTATACGGATTGCCTCGATATAGCCTTAAAAGTCACAAGCTTTTTAAGCAAAGATGGATAGTGGCGAGCAGTGGAATCTAGTAAGACGTGCGTTTCGTCCTATTCTAGGACTTATTTTAATAACTTCGCTCTGAAGATAACAAAACTGACTACAAGTTTGTGCATATACTTAACATGTTGGTGTATTACTATGATTATGGGTAGCTACTCCATCTAGTTTGAATCACTTCAGTAATGTTTACCCAACAGTCCAAGTGCGATTAAATTGGGACGATATTATTTGTCCCTGGGTCAATATCCGATTGGCCACATTATTTAGTATCTCTCATATTGTGTTACGGAACGGATCATAATTCATTTGGATCAATAGGCAACTACCTTACTTCGAACCTAGTTCAAATGACAGATTTCCACCTTTCACTAAAAATTCAGAAAACCTAACTCAAAGTAAATCACTAGTTATTATTATTCTCCGAGAAGAGAATAAGAGAATCATTTTAAAATATTTTTCAATAAACGAAATTTCAGTTCCCTGATTTTTATCGCACATTAAACCATAACCAACTAATGAAAAGACTCAAGGTAAACCGAAGGAGTTATTTAGTTTTATTTGGCTATTGATGGTTCGTCATCATTACAATTACTTTAATGTTCAATGTCATCATCAAACGTAAAATAACAAACATTTTGTTCATTGAAAAAGTCCTTACCACACATCGTGAAGCTACCAAAAAATATGACTCATTTATTGGAATCTTAAAACGAAAGTCATTTAAGCATGAATTCAATGACTTGTTGACATTTGAGCATTACACTGTGTATATGGTTTGTAGGCTAACAATTTAGAGCTGTAAGAACTTTTAAAACAAACAACCAATGGTTTCTCTTTTTTCTGATAAATTTTTGGCACAATTATTATGATTAACTATCAAGTTAACCGACTATTAAAGTTCACTAAACGAATAATAAGGAAGACAAGTATCTTGATATGATCAATTCCAGACTAACGAAAAGAGGTTCAATATCAAAGAGTTAACTTTGAAGAAGAAAATATAGATAGAACTTAACCACATTGGACGAATGAGTATAATTTGAATGCGTACATTTTAGTGAATTTAGTTAATGAATAGCGTTGAAATCAAGAAAAGGTTTTTCATATTATTTGAAGTAATTTCGCTCATTGCACTTAAATTCCCATGTTGATGTTCACACTGAACCACACTAGTGTTTAAAGCTATAGGTATAAGGTTTTTATCGTAGTGTGACAATCAACACCGTTACCCTGATACATCCAACTGACGGGATCCAAATTGGACGAAGTACTAATCCAAAATCCCAGTACTAGCCACCTTTCAAACATTCCATAATGTATGATAAATAGTCTGTATTAACCCAAATTGCTTATGATCTACACATATCAATAAAAATTGGTCAAAGTTCAATTTCGATCGGCAATAACAAGATGATACAAACCCTTAAAAACTTCGGCATTTGTTTAATTTTATGTTCAATAAATGGACTAATATCGAAGAAAATGTCAATCCAAATACAAGTTTTATCTACTCAAATCAATCTTTATGGATATGAATTGAGTTCCTATGACGACCTGAAAATCTAGCAGACATCGAACGTCTGTCCAATACTTCCAAGTTTTCAATGATGGTCTGGCTTATATCGACTCATGAATTCAATTATTAAAATAGAATTAAATTTAGAATTTAGATTTCCTTGAATAAGTGGCTTTAAAATTATTCATTTTGAAAGGCTTAAAGAAAATTCAAAAGTTAAACATTCGACATCTACTTGATGCCTGAACGGTATCTGATGCTAAATCATTCATATGTAGACAATCTTTTAGCATTATTAAGCAATTCTCATACATTATTATTATTATCATCATCAGCTTTATTCAATATTATATTTTTGGTACAATATAGAATTCTCAGCGTAAAGTATTTCAACAAGTTTCCCTTTCTTTCTTCTTGGTCGGTCCTGGCGATAAATATTGAGTGATCGCCAGTTAGATGTTAGCAGTTCACTAAATGAACATCTGAATAATGTGCATTCTTTCCGTTGTATATTGCCAGCAACCACATTGTCTCTTATTGAGTTTTTTGTAACTTCGACAACGAAAGGTTGTACACTTTTCAGAAACGCAGCAGAAAAGATCATGCGATTAATAAACATAGTGATATATTAAAACAAACAAAAATAGATAACTTGTTGAAATATCTAGATGGCAGGAATAGGTAGCCCAGATGCTCAAGCAGGCCGCCCTTTACATCATTTATCTACTCATTTAAATATGAACTAAACAGTGTTGTTCAGCATACAAAATGTCTCTTTTTTGTTAACATTTTAGTGAATGTATTAAAACCTGTCAAAGGTCCAAAGCGTATGGAATTTAATCCATATCTTCCTAAAACACTTACTCCAAAAGGATATGCCAAGGTATGTATTCTGGTACTGATGTCAACTATTCGACTTTTCTGTGTAAAAAAACTTTAAACTTATCTAAAGTTTTATCTACACTATATGTAGTCAAGGATTGAGTATTCCGATTGAGATTAGAATGACCTTCAGTATTTATAACAAAGAATCCTGTACCTCAAGATCATTTGAAATGCCAAAACTTTAAGTAGCATAAATTGGGAATAAAAATGCATCTTTGCATAATCACTACCCATTACAAAAGTAAAAACTTAGTAATCCAAATTTACAATAGAAAATAAACTACTTAGATTCAGATTAAATAACAAGAAACAGCTATTATAAATCACCAATTCAATTGGTAACAGTAATTATTCGTAAAATTATTTTTCTATGGACTGAGACAATGACCAAAAGTGAAATGGAAATTTAATCGACAGAGAACTCTGATCAAATGTAACTAAACGAATTCACTTATTTTTAATATATGATAGCGATAGTTTAAAAATAGGGAATGAATATCCCTAAATTTTGTTTAGAAATTTCAATATATTCAGTGATCCCTGTTTCCCAGTTATCCTTCAAATGAAATCGGTTCTTGGAGAAAGTTATCTTTAAACTGTGTTAATCATACCAAAGTACCAGTACCATGCCAAAAGTGAAAACAATTAACCAAAAAACAAACAACAAAGGTTATTATCAAAGATATATGAACTGGAAATATGTTATCACAGTTATTGTTATTCATACTAACTATTATTTATTAACAAAATACTGGAGCAACTGAAGTCTCCCTGACAATATGAGTACTATAACATATTACTTTGACCATTATTTTTATACAAGATTGAAGAAATAGCATTCCATGAAATAATGTTAGAAAATCGTTGTATACCACCACAAGCTTAAGGCGAAGATAGTGCTAATAAAATACCGACTAACTACATACTATTTGATCTACTTAAAACACTTTGAATGAATACCCTTCGTTTTTTTTTAAGAAATAACATTTATACATCGTATTTATTATTTGAATTTAGTATAAACTAATGATGAGTGTTGCAAGTAAACAATACGAAACATTAGTTAAACGTTTAAAAACTGAACGAACACTTTGGGAAGATCCTGACTTTCCAGCTAACGATTATGCAATTGGGAATATACCAAATTTCAGAGAGAAAATTGAATGGAAACGACCACATGTAAGTATAATGTTCATTTTTTGGTTACTTATAATAACTTTGAAATTACAGTCCTATGAAATCCGCCATTGCTTGGACATTCACACAATAAAGTTGGTATAATGTACTGCACCATAGAATAGTTCATAATATTATTACAATGAAGAAATAATTGACGCAAACATTCTAATAACCCTACCATCTACACCCATCACAGAAAGAATTTATGATTACTAAGTAAGCAGTTAAAGATCAAAACCAATCCAATGAGAAGAATATTTTCAAGAAAGAGATTAGATCCTTTCCCCGAGAGTTCATTAGTTTTATTTTACATATAAAGTCTCATCTTAAAATGATTGTTTTCAGTTTAAATATTTTCTACTAATCAGTTTAATAGTTAAAAAATCGTTCTGAGACGTTATATATAATTTAAGATGGTGGGGAAGTTTAGTGGCTCAAGTGGATAGATGATTTTGATGGAGTTTTGTTCTCAGAACTGGATGGTTTGGTTGTGGAGCTTTCATCATTCTTCTGAACAATATCATCGGCACAAACTTATACCTTATACTTATAGCTTTTCTAGCGTACTTTTTCAAACTAATATCCCTTTGATCCAATTATTTTTGAATATCAGCTGTCAAACAAATACTTTTGTTTAGAACTGTTTTCGTACTTCATTGTTATAATTATCTGTTACCAATTAGAATTTTAATTAAGCAGATATTTCATCATATCGAAACCGTAATATACATCAAAATGTCATATTACTTCATTCTTACTGAATAAATTATAAAAAGTATTAGTTAAGGTTAAGCTTAATAATGATCTTGAATCATGCACAATTTAACACATCTTTACTTAACTGAATGAAAAAGAAATCAACATATACTACTTTGTTGAGGACGTTAGATCCCCAGAACTCACTTGGAGAAGTTCCTAATTTTGTAATTTCGTTCTGAAAATGTGAATTTTATGTTTTTGCCCCAAGAGATGCTTAGTTGACCTACAGCTTACATTTCCCACTCGGAAATCTTTGATTATCATTAGTTGACGGATTTTTTTTAGTACGCTATTTTATGGCTCTCCCAAGGACGTTTCTATCATTGTATAAATAAGCTTGATTTGTGAGCTTAGCGTCCTCGTATTTTCTGGGTGCTTGTAGAATAAATTCTCTACGCCTTATCAAGACTTCTTGATCTAGTTAGCAGAACCAGGAACAACGAATTAGAATAGCTTATCGTATCACTGTATATTTGACTTTCGTTCTGTTTACCGAATAAGGTGAACTCGTAATAGCATTCAAGTATATCATACCTACAAGTAAAATAAGGGAATAAAACAAGCGATATTTCAAGTAGATAACAAAAATGAACTTGAAGTCGAAATATTTTTTTTATCAAGAACCATTTCTAGATTAAAACAAAATTGACCAATGATATTCATACATTTCAATGAATATCAATAAACATACATTTTAAATATTCCATGGACATCATTGGAAAAGTGCTTGATAAATTTAGTGTCTATTAAAATGCCTAAAATATTCCGTCCAAGAAGAATGTTTTTCGTTAGGATAATTTATAGTCTGGTTATAACATTTCGGATTGTAATATGGACCTAAATCCTAGATATTCCTTAATATTGTATTCTGATTATCATGAAAATTAGGTTTAAAGTTTTCATTCTATTTCTTTCAACCATCTAGCTTATTAGTTTGCAAATTACATTACATTTAAGAGATATCATATTGAATCATACCAAATTTTTACATATCTCGCAATACGTTTTCTCAATATCACATATAAGTGAATAGATCTGATGTATTCGTTTGGAATTCGTAGGGGTAGTTGAACACATATGGCATTTTTAAGCTTATCAGTGGAAGTAATATATTGCTAAACCAAGAGTAGTTTTTTTCTCAGTGTCAAAGAATCTGATCTGAATTAAACTTCAAAATCGATGACCGGAAAATAACTAGTTTTCTGCTAAAGGTTTCAACATAAACAATCTACGAAATAATCCGACTGCTTTTCTCAAACGTTTACTGGTTTGAATAAAGCGGTGCATTGTGTGTTCAATTATGTTCAAGTAGGGAGATTTTAGGATTTACCACTAAGTATTTTGTATGCACTTTTATAGGTTCATGTTTATATTTGAGACTGTTCATTTTAATTAAGTTCAAACTAGAGTTTAAACTTTTTGATGGATCAGTTTGACATTTTATATTATACCGATATGATATCTTCGCATAAAATTATGAACTTAAGACACTAAATTGTCTACTATATTTTTTTTTAAATTATCAATATTTGTGATACAAGAGAATTTTGCTGAATCCTTTTCTGTTTTCACCTTTTTAAAGGAAATTAATCCAAATGCTAGATTTTTTGCTGGTGGAGCAAGTCGTTTTGATATTGAACAAGGGGCACTTGGTAAGATAACTATCTTTCACAATTTGAGATTTGATTATAGTTACCTACAAAACATACAATTCATATAACTAGACATAGATATTCAGCATTTTGAATTAATAGTTGAATCGTAAAATTAACAATAATAAGTGTTTCTTCTCGAAATTATAGAAGGACAATTTATTCTTAGTTATAATAGAAATGTATTACAGATGCATTTAAAGCTATTGCCCATCATGGGTTGACATTATTTAGGGAATTGGTAGGAACCACAAACCACTAGATTACTGTTTCACCTTCTTGTAGAATTGATCGTCACTGAACACTGAAGACCTCTTCCTTGATTAAGCTTAAGACGTTCAAGAATCGTCTTAACCACAAAGCTGATACATGTTTTTAGAATCAATCAGTTCACGATTTAATGCAATAATAATCTTTTTGAATTTGCCAATGGAGTTCAATATTGTTGGAAATGAGACATATATCAATAAGGGAATTCGTCACTCAGAATGAAAAAAAATAACTGAGTTTAAAAACATATACTACTAGATAATGAGCCATTCTTAGAGAAGCTCGGAATTTTTGGGTTGATTCTGGTTGGCAAATTAATGACTAAAATGAGATTTTTCCCTAGTACCACCATTTTTAAACAGTTTCCTACTTGATATATATAAACAATGACAATTGTAGCTAAATACAAAGCATCAGTTATCTGACTTATTATTTCCAGTATTTTATTATCTAGTGGATTTAAGATAAGAGAAAATATTATTTTAAAATATAATCATAAAACTGTCAACCGATTACAAAAGTCACTAGTTAGTAACGTCTTTTCCATATAGGTGGAATTACTATGATAAATGTTATGTTAACTTAAATATCTTTCTTCTATAGTGTACTTGAATATAATAAGTTTTTCTTTGCCCCTAATCATTTTAATCCTAATAATAAACTAATTGTTCAGACCCCACACTCTAATCAGCAAGGAATTATCAGATAATTCATAGGAATTTATCACTGTGATAAGATATTATACAAAACGATTCCCATTTATAAATTTAAAAAAAGAACAAATATCGTAACATGGATTCAAAGTACGTAATCATTAAAATGAAACAAGTGTACATACTTTATATTGTAGAGGTTAATTCCTCCATATCTGACTCTAGTAAATAGTATCCCATTAATTGAGTATTTACGTAGGCTAAATCTCCTAGTAGTATTATGAATTTACTCATGATTATTCAAAAGCCCGGGCACCAGTTGTAGAGGTAGTTTATTGTTAATGTTTAGTAAAAAATCTGCAAGCACTTAGGAAGCAAACACAAAGGGAAAACAGTGAGAGTGCGTGTGTGAGTGAGAGAGTATTAAAAATCCATATTTTTTATATTATTAATGAGTGGTAATCGTTTGTGGATAAATTATTATTGATTGTCTGTGTTTGAAACCAATCGGAGAATAGATAAATATCAATGTGCAGAAATGCGCTCAATCAGTCTGATACATAATTTTATACAGAGCGAGTTAGTTGTCTAAATTAAAGCAAGTAGACAGATAATAAAATAGTTGAATGGGTTTACCACAATATCAGAAGTGTCTAGAGTTAAACTGTAAACACTGAATAACATTTTGTAAGATTACTTACATAAGACTATTTTTATTTTTCGACAAAATTTAATCAAAATCCTAATATATTAATTCTTGCCTCTGTGTTTCACTTAACTACTCTATACTGTTATAAGAAGGAGGTTTTGTGAAAATTTTAGTAATTTAATAGTTGAATTCACGAGTCAATTGAAACTAGACCACTTCTGAAGAGTCCCATACTAGGACGAAACGATCATCCAGAGCATTCATGATGACCTAACTTTAATTGACTCATGAATTCAACTATTAATCTATATTACACAGTCTATTTTCTATTTCTAGAAGAAAAACATTTTTCATTTTTATGATCTAAAATATTGAAAAATTTCTATTCTTCCATATTATGATCACTTAATATTATTCTATCACCATATTTCAACTTAGTTTATTCTAAACCTTTCTGATATAAAGTATGTATATCCATTCGTTTTAATCATCAATACTGTGGTTATAGGTTGTAAGCAGATGGGGATAATCCACTAAATAATTAAAGAAGAAAAAGAACTCATGTTGTTCTGCTACGACATTTGTTCTTTCTCTATTAGTTGACAGATATACAGGAGTAGATTAAATATATGCATAAATCAAGAGATTGATCCAACTTATTAAACCTCAAAAAAAGTTTCACTATGGTTAAATATTCTTTATCAAAACTAGGTTATAAATTTAGTCCAAACTACAGAAGTTCATCCGTTTGTCACATTACTAATTACTCTTCAAATAAATAATAGAAAAAAACAAAACAAAACATTAATATCAGATGGGTTTTGTGGAGATTGTAATAATTTCAATGGTTAAGATCAGGATTCAGTTGAAGCTAGACCACCACGGAAAACCTGGAAGCACTGGACGGCCGTTTCGTTCTATTGTGGGACTCCTCAGCAGTGCTCATCTACGACCTCGCCCTCTGCGAGATTCGAACCCAGGACCTACTGGTTTCGCGCGCGAGTGTTAATGTCTAACTTCAACTAATCCACGAAATTGAGCTCCACATCTCGACACTATCTCACTTGTAGTACAGGAAACTACATAAAATAATGATATTGGCCAGTTAATTTATCGATATAAAGTAACAGATGAAGTGTTTAGCATAACATATATCTTGATGACCTTAATTATTACGCATAAATTTAACAATACTTTAAATATAAAATGATGGAAAAATTCTACCGTAGACTGTTTTAATAGAAGTGTTTGCATTAATAAAATAAGTAGTAATCGGCATATAATTACCAAGAACAATAACATTAGAAATAGTAAACAGATTTTTCTCATACTCGGTTACCTAAATATATATATATGTAAGTATCATTATTCCATGAAATAGTAATATTTTATGTTGTTGAAAATAAGTTTTTCTCAACATTATAACTCAAAGTCTCATCTATTAATCTGTACTTGGTCATTGAGTTTATTATATTCAGTTTTATCTGAAAATTTACATATAGAACTTTGCAAATTCAACTAAACAAAAAATATTGCGAGTTAAGTAACAGACATGTTCGAGGAATGGAATATAAACTTTAAAATATATATCTCTCAACGATTGTCATACAGTATGGGAAATGTAATGCAAGTTTGTGCTAAGTGTTTCAATTTAGAAATAAAAAGTATTTTTAAAAATACTTGCTGTAGGAAAGAAGTTAGACTATTAATATGGATAGGTGGTATCGTTCATCAAGTAATCAAAGAATCTTACTTGGATAAGTCAAAAAAACATACCTTTTAATTGAGTTTTGTTCTCTGAGCTGGATGGTTTGGTCGTGGTGTCTCAATGGTATCACCAGTACCAGGACTGATCGCAGAAGCAGTGATGCAAAGACTAGAAGCCGCGATATTACCAGTGACCAAGCCAAAAATTTGGATTCACTATGTAGACGACACATTCGTCATCGTCAAAAAGAATGAGCTGGAAAACACTTACAACCTGATCAACAACGTCTTCGATGACATCAAGTTCACCATGGAACAGGAGTCAAACAACCAACTAGCATTCTTGGATATATTAATCACTAGAACTGACACAGGAAAACTGGAAACTCAAGTATGTAGGAAACCGACCCGTACAGATCAAATTCTCAACTACAATAACAACAACCCAAGAGCTCACAAAATCAACTGCGTACACACATTGTTCAAGAGGGCGAGGACACACTGCAGCACACTGGCAGCACGAAAGAATGAAGAGAAATACCTGAAGGACATATTTCAAAAGAACGGCTACCCAATCAACTTCATCAAAAAGCACCAACGGCACACAGCATCAGAACCCAAGTCAAGCACAAAAATCAACAAAAGGATCACTCTACCGTACATACAAGGCATATCAGAAACCGCAACGAGACTGCTGAAAACCTTCGGGATAGGTGTGGCACACAAACCAACAAAATCACGACAATCAATCCTATGCAAACCAAAGGATGAAATAACAAAGGAAAACAAATCAAACATCATCTACAAAATAAATTGTACCAACTGCGACAAACACTACATCGGACAAAGTGGACGCCCCCTCCACCTACGCCTACATGAACATCAATTAGCAGTCAAACGCCATGGTATCTCTTCACTTATATCAATACACGTGGATAACTACGGACACTCATTCGATTGGAAAAATGTGGAAATCTTAGACAGAGGAAACTCCAAAAACACCAGAGAATTTTTAGAAGCCTGGCACTCAGGTCAATCAGCAAGCACATTGAAATCGATCCAATTTATCAACCAATCAGGAAAATTATGCACAAATATAGGAACAAAAATCAAACCAATGGAAGGCACAACCAAAACAAAGAAGTAAACAATGACAAATTTAAGGTCAATAAGAAGCAATCAACGTCGAGGTGTACAGACCAAGCCGTGAAACGCATATGGAGAAATTCGAACACTTCACTTCTATCTGAAGTTTGTGCTGATGATGCCGTTCAGAAGAACGATGAAAGCTCCAGGACCAAACCATCCAGCTCAGAGAACAAAACCCCATAAAAATCATCCACGTGAGCTACAAATCTTCTCCACCATCTCACATCCCTTTTAATCTAAATATGACTGTATGGTTTTTAGCACGTCTGCTGCGAATTTTTTAATACAATCTTTAAAAAATTACTGACTCAAAGAATGTTAAAACCAAATTGGCTAATAAAATGACTGTGAACTTCTCTTCACTTTGTAAATCGTCTAGGTGATTGCTGGTTACTTGCAGTAGTGGCTTCCATATCAGGATACCCACAGCTATTTGATCAAGTGGTGCCTAAAGATCAAGAATTAAAAGGACCAGATTATGTTGGTGTTATACGTTTTCGATTTTGGAATTTTGGTCATTGGGTAGAAGTACTTATAGATGATCGTCTTCCAGTTCGTCAAGGACGTAATACACTCACTTTTATGCATTCTAGTGATCCTACGGAATTTTGGTCAGCCCTGTTAGAAAAAGCTTATGCAAAGTAAATCTGAAAGTTTTTTAAACAAAAATATACATCTTTATTAAAAAATGAATTCAGTTAATTATACTCTGAATAAATGTCTCACTGTTGTCTATTCCAGCCAACGAATAGTGGTTTATGTTGAACCATCTAGTCTTAAAAACCAAAAGAATTAAATCGTTTATTTTCTCATCTACTTACTGAATTATTCAAACTAAATATATCAGAGCGTACTTTATTTCGTCATTGCAACGTCTGAAAGTATCAAAAGGAGGCCCTGAAACTCCTCAGAAAAACTCTTCTTAATTCCCTTACTATTATTATCAACATATTTGTCTAAAATTACATCTTATTTCAGCGTGGAATTCCCAGTGTACAATATTACATCTGATGTCTCTTATTCAGTTTATACTACACAAAAAATCAACAACTGCACACACATATACGTGGAATAAGTAGGCAAATTATCTAAGATTAAGTGAAATTAAGAATTTATACAACTGTTAATTAACAACATGTTCAAACACAAGCTTTTGACCAGGTCAGCTCTCACAACCTGCTCGTCATATATGTACGGTATGGTAGAACTTTTATATTCTTGCTTGCTTTCATGGATTCTAATGTATCGGCATGCCGTTCCACCGGTAGATATGTAGAAAGAAAAATGCAAGTATAGTGGATGGTTACTATCTGATACAATAACACTTGGCAACAGTTTGCAAGATATCAAATTTCTGTCCACAATCGCATTCAAAATGGCATCAAAGATTCAACACACATATTACTAACTGCCTCCAGTACTCCTTATGGTCGAAGACTAATTTGTTTGCCACTAAATCGATCAGGTTAAATCAACACTATACTTCGAGCATCATTTGACTCTTTCGGTAAACACCCGTGCTATTTTATCTTTCTTAGTAAATCCAATGATAACAAGAACGGACACTGTGTTTATTGAAATTTCTCTTTTTTCTCAAAGTTTAAATGTTTAATTTCAGACTACCTCAGTGCTCCATTTTTTTATGAAGTATACTCAACAAAGTAACTTATGTTTACTTTCTTAAGATGTCCGATCATTACTTAAATTATTCAAATATTCGTAAGAGAATCATTATTACAAAGAAATACAGAAAATCAAAATATATTTTTTAAAATCTTTTATTCGATTTCTTGAACGGATAGATTGAACGGTTGTTATGCTCATCTGTCTGGAGGAACACAAAGTGAAGCTATGGAAGATTTAACTGGTGGAATTTGTTTATCTATTGAACTGAACCAAAAAGAACGTCCACAAGATCTTGTAGAACAGCTTAAAATTTATGCTCAACGTTGTTGCCTTATGGGTTGTAGTATTGATGTAAGTTAGTGTTTGATATGAAATAGTGTTATAAATTTTTAAGAAAATAATTTTATGAATAATTCATATTAACAAATTTTCCATCAAGTTATAAATTTACCGTTGCACATAACGAACAAAGACAATAAGCTGGTAATCAGAACTAGATTCCATTAAATATAGTTCATCACTCATTAGTGAATATTTAATAGAATGGTATTCAACTGTTTCCCCAAACTTTCAACACAACTACTGCCTAATGTAAATAACAACACTGAATATCACTGTTATATTTATATAAAGGACTGTCTTAAATTTCATGATATGAATTTCCCCAACAGTAAAGTATTTAGGAAGAAGTGAAATATTCGGATACTGTACCATATGTAAAACGTAAATCCGTGTACATAAACTCAGTTGTTTATCGTAATATCAATAGATATATCTTGATATGAATAACTTGGTTCTTATTAAACAAATATCGGTCAAAATACAGTGTTACATTGTCAATTTATCTTAGATAGAGAAGTGCTTTAAATCACTTCAATATGATCAAAATATTTTTATTACCTTCCGAGTACATTGTAAGTCTCGAACCTAAGCATTCATTATTGATACTGTTTTGTTTTAACTGGCAAATGCTCATATTCACGTAGATTTTTCAACATCTAGACTTACATAATCGTATGACTATAGTCAATGCCGAAACATTTTAAACGTATTAAATATTTTTAGTTTAAAATAGATTTCAGAATTGAAATAACAAATAAGCCTTTCAAATTCATGTTAAACTGAGATTATTATGTAATATACAATCCATCAGGACCACAAAGATACTAAATGGGTTCTGCATTTTCTTTTGAAGTTCAGTATCTTTTAATGTACACTAATCATCTATTTAATAAAATAGTTCTTTGTAACCCAATATAGTACGTTAGCATAACAACATGATGATTAAACTCATTTTTCTAGAAAGATGAATGATTTATGTCATAAATATCGATTTTATTAATGAAAGAATTGTGATCTTGATTTGAATACAATATTGATTGAGCATTAATGTTACCCATTTTCAGTTGTGAGAATATTACGATTAACTTTCCTGTTTTAGATTTGTTTAAACGAAGTAATTACGAATACCGATTGTGTATATTTACACACGATTAAAAAATCGCAACTTATTCCAATGCTAAATATTGCATAACTCAAATAGAAGTACTTCACATTTTGGCACACTTTCCTTTTCATTCATGTTTTGATAAGAGGAGAGGAGAATGTATTTGAATTCAGTCACTTTATATATGGTCAGTTGAGAACTGGCAGAAAACTCTGATAATCGAATAGATGGTAGATACTAAATTTTGGAAACATTTATGAAATATGTTTAAAATAATTACAATTTATGGGGATGCTAAAAATAGATTTGTTGTAATATTGCATAATTGAAATTCGAAAGTCTTTACTGCAACGAAATTTATACTATTCAATAAGGTTATTATTATTATTATTATTATTATTATTATTATTAAATCAGTCACGAATGATCCCAATCTTTTGTCTTTCTAGTCGTCAGTTATGGAACAAAAAATGGATAATGGACTTATAGCTGGTCACGCATACAGTTTAACAGGTGTATATCCTGTAAGTTAAATTTGATATTAAATTATTAAAACTTAATAGTTTAATAATAGAAACAATTTACTTTACGATGTAACTTGTAACGTTTGTTTTCTATTCAGTTCATTCTTACTTTTAGAAATGTGTATGTAGTATTATAGACATGAAGTCTAATGGTAAGAATGTGAAATTTCTAGTAAAAACAATTCATCTAACGAGTTTGTAAGTGTCATTCATTACCAAGGTTTGACTTGATAATTGCAAATAAACTGAGCATTGGGTGGATTGCTACTGATTAAAACAATCTATTTGTAATATCCCAATGAGTAGGAAATTTAAGTTTATAAACTTTTCGACGTTTTGCAATTCTGTGTAAGCCACTTTAGAGAATGAAAAAAAAAGAAGTGACTTACATGGAGTCACGAGATGGTTTTTACGACTTAATTAGTATCCAAGTCATTAATCAGAAAAATGGATAGCATGAATTTATTTTATTTGTCACTAAGACTACCAATAAAACATAATAAAAATAATACCAACGGTCAGATCATAATGAAAATTGATAGGACTGTATTTTTAAATAAAGATAACAATGACACTTCAATGTAAATTAATGCATATCATAGTTCATATTTGACGATTACCATCCATTAGTCTGTTACAAACCATCTTTTAGCCTGTAATATTTTACACGGTAGTTCTACCATACATCTTCATTTCATAAATTTTGATATTTACCGGCCTACGCATATATTCATTCTGCTAGATTTAATGTTAGTCATTTAATTGATTCGATGATTCATTCATTTCACTATATATATGTACATTTTAATCCTGTTCATTTACTCGCCGACTAGGTCATTCGACTCACTCGCTTGCCCGCTTGCTTTTTGGCACTACCTTTTCATGCTTGCTTAACGTACCTGTAAATTTGGTTATGTGTGTGTGATACAATAATAAACTTAATCAACACTTCGTAATCGCCTTCCGATTAATATACCGCTGGGGCATTATCTAGTGACGGTTATAAGGACGAACTATATACGAAGTTTAAGGATTATATTGAATACCAACCACCACAAGCCATTATTTAAAAAAAAATTCTATATTCAGTCGTTTTATCATATTATCTAATCCATTCCTACTTAAGATGTAGTTCAATATTTCCAACTATATGTTCATGTACATTTTCTATAGGTCAACTACCGAGGTCGCACTCAATGGTTAATGCGTTTACGTAACCCATGGGGTGATAGTCATGAATGGAAAGGTGCATGGTGTGATGGTTCACCTCAGTGGCGTGAAATAAGTGAACAAGAAAAGAAAAATATTAACTTGAGCTTCACTGCAGATGGAGAATTTTGGTAAAGCAATATACTTACGTAAAATTGAAACGTTATTCTACAGAGTATCTGTAAACAAAAAATACTTTCTGATTCTATAAAATGAATTTTCGTCACCAATATTCAGCTTCATGAAATCTTCACTGAATACTTAATTTTAAGATAATTTAGTGATAATTTATTGATCCACTTCTAGACAATTGTCATAAAGTTCTATGAGAAATCACAAATATGAATATAGTTGACACTGTTTGTGATACCTCTTTATATTATTGAAATTAAGCATTATAAACTATTGGGCATCAGACTAGACAGGAGACTTTTGAAGTCCTAAATTCAATAAGATGTAAGATTGAATTCAGTAACCACTAAAAAACAACTATTACCTACTTTCGAACTTTTCGGTAGTACTTTAACTAGTATTAATTCAAGTTAAGATTAAGTACGATTACACACATTACCATTTAATATAGACCTATCTGAAATCAAAAGTCAAAATTTCTCTCACTTTTATTATCAATATCAAATTTAGTCTCAACAGGATTTTGGTTAACATCACATAATCACAACTAAGATTACAACTTTCTTCAATGTAAATTTAACCAGTCTGACAGCGGTTGGTAGGTTTCTTGATTTGAAATGAAATAATTTTCACAGTTTAGTATTTTAAGTCAAATCAGACGGACTGAACCAATGATGGCCATTTCACCAGAAAATCATTAACATTGTTTAGTATTTCCACACTTCTTATAAGTTAATCATTAGTTTTGCCTGGTATGAAAAACACCTTTCCAGTCTTATCTCACCCTATTTCGACCACTTTTCCAGTGAATGTTTTTAAAAAGGGGTTTTGTGGAGACTTGCTTTGGTGACTTACTTTGTAGTAGGTACCAGAATTCCTTGTGAGAAGCAGTTGTCGGTGTGGTCCAACATCATCGAGAGTGAGACATGTATCACCGACCGAATTAAATGATCTTCACGTGCTATTACAAACTGATTGAGATTCCAAATGTAATTCCAACGCCATATCCTTTGGATTTGACCCTGTGGGAATCTGTGTATGCATGATTGGTGAGTCCAAAAATAATGAGGAATTAATCTCCAGTGTCCCAAAGTTCATAATTATCTTTTGGCTCATAGAAGTCCGTCACGAAAAATCAACAATTGTGGTTATTAACAATTGTTCGCTGGATCACATGGCAATTAAACATTTTCTAATCATTAGATGATGATGACAGCAGCATTTCCGCAAAACGAAATAAATTCTTTCATATAAACGATATTAGGTACTACAGTAGTATTCAGTGTTGTAAAAATTATATTTGAAAAGTAATCGATAGTGAATTGATATTCAAATAATATTATCTGCTACAATTCCTTTCTTTTTTATTGGTTTTTGTTTATAATCAGGATGTCATATGAAGATTTTGTTACGTGTTTTACACGAGTGGAAGTATGTCATTTAGGTCTTGAAAGTTTAGAGTATCATGAAAATTTCCGTGGGAAAAGACGATTAGACGAAGCTATATTCTCTGGTCAGTGGCAACGTAACGTTAATGCTGGTGGTTGTATTAATAATCGCTGTAAGTTTCACTTGTATCCGAACTATATATTTACCACTTGTTAATATATTTATGATAACTAAACCATTTTATCCCTGTGCGAAAAGCTAAACAACTTATCTAAACACAATCTTTGCCTCAACAAATGAAATTTACGGAGAGAAACAGATTTGTTTATTGGAGAATATTTCGACAAATCTGACTTTAAATCGCTACTGTTCGAGATAATTTTGTAGCTCTTAATTTTCCAAACACTACTGATCCAAATTTTGTCAGTGTATAAAAAATCAAGAGCCAGTTTACCAAGAGAACAATCGAACCATGCACTTAGTATTGTTAAACCAGATAAGAAATTTCCAACCATTAGAATTCCAGACAAATAAAACAAAAATATATATTCATTAAGAGTTGGTTAAGAGTTAATAGTAGTTACCATTCACTTGATTAGTTCATATATTAATAAAAGTTAATATTAATAAGTTCTATACCATTTATAAACAAATAACATTGAAATATAGATAAAAGTAATAATAGATTATTCTTGAATATTTTAATAAAACTTACTTTTGACAAATTTAAACACAAATTATATAACTATGTTGAATTGGTTTTTCCAACCAATTTAAAAGCTACCTATTGGACGAATCCACAATTTCGCATTACTGTTGAAGATCCAGATCCTGATGACGATGATAATAAATGTTCAGTGCTTATTGGTTTAATGCAAAAAGATATCAGGAAGAAAGTTGGAGCAGATTTTCAACCTATGGGTTTTATGGTTTATAATGTAAGTTATCTGGTGAATTCACATTAAATACACTGTGAACCTTAAGAATGGTTTATGTTATAGGTTAGGTGAAATTTGTACAAAACATAAATTGAAATTGACTGGATAATTCAATTCTTTAAAACTCTAAACAAACTCAGCAATGTAAAATATTAGTTTTCTTATTATAATTATTTAACGGAGAATGAAATCGTTAGATGTTACAGTCAGGGTCGATGTTTCACCCACTTAATAAATATAAAAAGCTTGGACCAGATTGCCAGGCGAAACGTTGCATTTACTTCAAATTCATTCGCTGAGATTTTACAAATACATTCTTTCTCTTTAAAAGTTAGGGTGTTCTGTACATGATTTCATATCGTATGGTTAGTAAACATTGGAGAATTTTCTTTGGAATCAACAAAATATTGTGATAAACACTGGTTTCAACTGATTTCATTTGTAAGGAAACAAGTTATCAACGGGTAACCTCTGGGATATCATCTCAAATTCAAAGATTTAAAGTAAATTCATACGTATATTGCTCCTCGAAGAGAAATCTACAGAGGAGAGTATACTTATACATAATTATTTTAATAATCTAATAGCTAATACATGGAATGACTATCTAATACAAGTTTCACATTTTTTTCAAAATGAACCCAACGGAATATAATTGAACTGTCTAATTAATATCAATCGTTAATTAGATTTAATTAAAAAATTTTATTTTCGCGAGGTTTTAAAATTCAACATAAATAAATAAATGAAGCTATGAAACTTAGGTGTTCATCGTCAATTCAATATGATATCAAGCAAAGATGGATAGTGGCTAGCAGTAGAATCCAGGACGCGCGTTTCGTCCTACTTGGGACTCGTCATCTGGATGTACCTGCATCGCAGAGTTGGTGTTCAATCCGGGACACATATGCCAACATGAGACTGATCAATTGCGGTCCTAAATAACGATGGGAAGATACAAGTAAAACAACACCAGGTGAATTCAATATGTTACAGTTTATTAGGTTGTTAACAAAACTTCATAGAAAGTGCTCTATCCCGTATAAGTTTTAAGTAGATACAGTGAAGAAAGTTAATGTTATATCATAGCGAAGAATAAATTATGGGTAACTTCTGAGAACGACAAATGGACTAATATTATACATATATTCTTATTGTATATTTATTGACTAGATTATGCATATTTATATTCCTCTTATTAATAAGCTTTATTTTGACTTATAGACTATTATTATACAACTTACCATTCTGAAGTTATACCCAATTTAGTATTTACGGTCACTCATAATCACAGTCACTTTTTGGTTTGATCTTGTATAATTGTTATTTTTCATTTTATGTTATGATGTGATCTGACATGCTTGCATATAAACCAAGTATGTTTGATATAAATGATTCGTATAGTGGAGGTTGACATTGATGTTCTAGACTCAACAGGCAGGGCAAGGTAGAAAATCGACCATTAAGGCTCTGGGCTGCTCATACCGGTCAATACGTCAGCGTTGTGGCAGTGTTAAGATTGTATAAAACGTGTTCTGATTGGCTGCCTTGTCACGTGACAATTGACAGGCCATAATTTACCACATTTAATTTCTTTCTAGTTGAATTCATGAGTCTATCTAAGCTAAACCACCATTGAAAGCCTGGAAGCACTACAATCTCAACAAATCCCCGTTCCGATCATAATCATGATGTGCTCGCTAGTAACTAGCTTCAAGATGATTTTCTGGAGTTGTAATGAGAAGCCGTGACCAGTAGAGTCCAGTCCGTGTCAGCTGTAAGACAGTTATCCACCTCAGACATTGGATTGCTCAAGATCATGGATCGACTGAAGTTAAACAGTAATACCGTTGAATGCTGGCTCAGTGGTCCAGAGGTTAAACGTTCGCGCGTGAGTCGATTCCCGTATACGGGATCGTGGAGGTGCACCGCAGAGGGGTCTCGTGCTAGAATAAAACGGCCATCCAGTGCTTCCAGATTTTCAATGATTGTCTAGATTACAGCAAATCGTGAATTCAAGTATTAAAATTACTTCAATCTCCATAAATCCAAATTCTGATCATAATTCCTCTCCATATGTATATTCAGATAAAAATTATTTGCAGACATGTAATGAATAGAGCAAGCACTTAACACACAGGAGAAGATAGGAAGTCAGGGTTAATTAGCGAATAATCAATAAAATTAAAGTGGAGCTAGAGAAAAATAAACAAACTGATCTGTTCGGAAGCTTGAATAACCTATGAGGGCTTGACATAGTATCAGCTACTACAATACTATGCTAGTTGAATTTCAAAAGTTTACAAAAACAAATGAAATAGAATAGCCATGACAAGAGATAGATAAAATACATACACTATCCACCATATTACTTATATAGATTACTTTTATTTCAGTTAAGCGTTAAAGGTGATATTCGGGATAAGACATTGACTCAAAGAATAGATTGATCCATTTTAGAAACTTTTTTTTACGAGAAGTCAACTGTACACCATATTTGCTGTGTATTTAATAGTTATATTATCAAAAACATAGTGGCAAGAATATACGTGTGTAAACTAATCGGTTTTTATGAAATGAGTTTATTATACAGACAGAAGAAGAAATAAACCAGTTTTATCGCAAACATTATTCACTTAAAATATCCCAGTGATTCCTTTTTGAAAAAACCCTTTTCTCCAAACTATGTAAATATATGCATCCATTGTTTAATACAAAACACAGGTTTGTAGAATATTATCATCAGTATCGGGTTGTGGAGATTACTAAGTTTTTGATTGAGACGATGAACCGATTGATGTTAGACCACCTTTGAAAACCTGGAAGCACTGAACAGCTGTTTCGTTCTATTGTTGCACTCCTCAGCAGTACGCATCCACAATCCTGTCTCGCGGGATTCGAACCCAGAGCCTTCGGTCTCGCTCGTGAACGCTTAACCTTTAGACCACTAAGCTTACATCTAATGGGTTTAATGTCTGACCTTAACCAAACCACAAAATTTCGCGACCATCTTCCATTCAACTGAGGTAGATACCCATCTCTAGTTGACATGGATTAGCTCTACTGGTCACGGTTTCTCACTAGAAATTCAGTGCTTCCAGGTTTTCAATGGTGATTCATGATCTCAATCTAAAAGTATTATTATAACAAGAACTTCACAAAGATACAAATTCAAATAGCCCAGTATCTTGTAATACACAAACCAAAACATTTATGTTAAAAACAATCATTAGAAAAGAGAAAACCACAACTATACTCACAATAAACGACTGAAATTCATTTTTCTTATACATTTTACTATAAAAATGATGTTTGGATGACAATAGGAGAAAAGTCTATCACGTGGAATATTTACATATAATATACATGAATGTAGTATCCAAAACATCTTATGATGTTAAAAATAAACAACAAATGGTAATTAGTAATGTATTACTATTATTTAATCTTCATTACACATTCTGAATATCATCCAAAATGAATAGATTAAACAAATGAATCGAATTCAACCAACTATACAATTAATTATAATTTAATTCATTTCTTTTTTAAAGGCACCTGATGATTTAAACACTTTATTATCACGTGCACAACTTTTAACTAAATCTCCAATAGCTAAATCACAATTTATTAATACACGTGAAGTTACTGCACAATTTCGTGTACCACCAGGATCATATGTTATTATTCCAAGTACATTCGATCCAAATATTGAAGCCAATTTTGTATTACGTGTATTCTCACAAACAAGTATTACAGAACAGTAAGTAATGTTGATTTATTAAAACTTATATTCAATATAGAAATGATAATAAATATATATTACAAAGAAAATATAGATGATTTATTCATTGTGAAGATAATTAAATTTGTAAACATTTCAACTTTTAAATCCTTTCACTACAATGGTAAATGAAAATGTAACGTAAAAATCCATATCATTATAGAATATACATTCAAAAAAGTAAATGCAACTTTCATAGGTACTAACTGAACTATCACTAGTTGAAATTATGAGTCAATTGAAGCTAAACCACCATGGAAAACCTGAAAGCACTGGACGGCCGTTTCGTCCCAGTGCGCATCCACGATCCCGCCTCGCGAGATCCGAACCCAGGACCTATCCGTCTCACGCTCAAACGCTTAACATCTAGACCACTGAGCTGGCATACAACGGTGCGAATATCTAACTTCAACTAATCCACGAAATTGTGTGACACATACACCATTGTCTTCAATGAGTTACTATCTCACAAATGACCCCGTTGAACTCAGCTGATCACTGCTTCTCACTAGAACTCCAAGAAACACCTCTTGAGGTCAGTCATTAGTGAGCATATGTTAATTAATGTCGTAATTTTAATAGTCAAGATCACGAGACAATTGAAGCTAGAGATCGTGAATCCACACTGTTGAGGAGTCTCACAACAGAACATAACGACCGTTCAGTGCTTCTAGGTTTTTCATAGTGGTCTAGTTTCAATGGACCCAAGATCTCAACTATTGAAATTACTATAGTATCTACAAGTGATTGAATAATAAGACCTCAGAGATTATTTGATTATCATAGTCTAATTTTTAATCTGAACACGAATAAAATGTTATATATATATATATATATATAATATATATATATATATATATATATAGAGAGAGAGAGAGAGAGAGAGAGAATGTTTACAATGATTCACAGAAAGTAGATCATTCTGTTTTGAGAAGGGGATTCGTGGAGATTTTAGAAATTTCACTGATTGAAATCATGAGTCAATTGAAGCTAGATCACCATGAAAAACCTGGAAGCACTGGATGGCCGTTTCGTCTTAGTATGGGACTCCTTAGCAGTGCACATCCACGATCCCGCACACCGCGATATTCGAACCCAGGATCTATCAGTCATGCGCCATGCGCTTAACCAACTAGACTACTGAGCCGGCATCCAACAGTGTTAATGTCTAACTTCATGTATAATAAGTAAAACCTGTTAACATCTGTAATCATTATTTAGTTTTGATTGTTACAAACTCACTCGATTCGAAATTTCGGGGTCTGAAACTGTAATTACAACAGTGATTTATGTACACCTGTACAAACCTCTCTAGTTATTAACGTATAAGCACCGAGATGATAAATAAATGTTGTATTCAACCTATGATCGACAAATTCATTAAAAAAACAATCCTATAAATATGAACCGGCAAAAATAATTTGATGTTGGAAGTTTCGTTGAAAATCGATTCATTAGATGTTTTGGCCATTAAACCCTCATCCTCATATTTTATAAGGAGATTATTATCAGCAACTAGCTTCATGTACTGAATGCTTTAAGTAACAAAGCATTACCCACTTCTTCAGTTTTGTGTGATTCAAACTATGATCATATACTTTAGATCATAAAATGTCTATTTATTTCTTATGATTAAAATCCCGATCGACGTAATCAATTACTGTTATGTTTCATACAAACAATCATCTTCATTCTTCAGGGAGATTTCATCATTATTTTATTTGATTTTATACCATGAAACACAATATAAGAATGATTTTGATCTCAAGAATTTAGTGATTTAAGTAATAGTTAACAATTAACTTCTATCTCTATTAATGAGTATAAGACATTAAATACTCGATTCAGATAATTAGATTAATTTATGTAAAATAGATTACGTAATAACAATAACTTACTTTTATTGATTAAAGATTGTATAATATTAATGGTTAGCGTTTTTTAGCGAGTTAGTTTTCTACGGGATGAGGTCGATAACCCCATGCCCAACCCTCCTCCTTTACCCGGGCTTGGGACCGGCAGTAACTCTAGAAGAGCTACAGGCGGAGTTATTGTATAATATTATAATGAATAATTTTCGTATTACAAACCAATTCATTTTATGTGGCCTCTAAAAATAATCTTGGAAGTTTAAATTTATTTTAATATATTCATTTACAATTAGCGTGAATGATTTTTATTGTGAACCTTGTTTAATTTACGATACAAATATAATATATATATATAATTTTTACCATTGTCTAATGCCACATGAATCTCCCCTGAAAATCAAGAAGCAGTACATAATTCTTTTAGGATTGTCTAGTATTTTATAACAATCTATATTCTACAACTCTAGAAGGATGGGATACGCAGCTTTGGATTTGAGGTAACTACGATTCTCTAAGATTAATGAGAGACTGATCAATTGCAGTTCTAAACAACAGTGGGAACATATAAGCAATCAACACCAAATGAATTTAAACTTCATCCAATTGCACAAGCAGGTGGCTATCAGGACTCAATAGCTAAGTAAATAACGCGATGGTATTTAAAGCGGACTGTACTGAGTTCTGCGATGCAGGCACATCCAGCTGACGAGTCCCAAATAAGACGAAACGCACATCCTGTATTCCTCTGTCCATGTTTGCTTATATTTCTACTGTTATAAGATCCTGTTAGCTATTCATTGTTTGCTCTCTATCTATTCATTACTTATTACTTTATTTTCTAGAGAACTTGATGAAGACAATACTAACAAAGGTCTACCAGACGTAAGTTAGTGAAATGTTGTAACACAATGTATACAAAAGTTTGTTTTGGATACATTTTATAACAACCATTAACAGAATTTACTAAGGCCTATTAGTTTATTTTATAGTAGTCCAGAAATATTGACTTTAAAACGAGCAATGCTACTAACTGACGACTTTAGTGAACCTAAATAATAAAATCACTTCATATCTGGTCAAGTACCATTAAGAAAAATGGCAGTACATTTATCCAAATCAATGGGGCTGGATAAGGCTAGTCTTAAAACTATTAGACTTTTCTCTGGATCTGATCAAACACTTGACTGAATTTCATGTTGCATAATTCCTTTGAAGTGAATGACCGAACTGAAAGAACTTCACGAGTTTAGTTACGGAAACGTTATCGATACTTTCCTCCGTGAACTCAAAAATTACCAGTCAATGCTCAGATCATCTTTATTAATTAGACAATGCTAATAGAAAGCTTGATTGACTAACGAATAATTATTCACTCAGGAGATGCATATCTGAACTTAGCATTTATTTAATTCTCAACAATCAAAATCTCTTAGTTGATTCCTTTTAACACATTTATTCCTATGCCTACAAAGAATATCGATTCAAGCCATATAAGATATCAGTTTATCTAAATACATTCATTTGTAATCTAGTATAAATGTATTTTAAACATTCCAATCTATGTTTGTTGCAATTAATGTAGCGTAACTCGAGAAGTAAAATGATAAATGTATAATAGATTTCACTACAAATTGTCTGCATATAAACTAATGTACATTGATCACAATTACTGTCAATTATTTTGAAATAATTATTTATATTAATGTTGTCTAACTCACAAAATACCTGTCTATTTACTGTTTACTTGTCTAGGATGTTATTGAAGCTTTGAAATTAGAAGATACTTTATTAGTAAGTCAACATTATTCTCTTCATTGAAATATTTTGACAACATTTTACTTAGATCACATTTACAGAAAATCATGAAACACTGAAAATTATTGAAGAATTCCTTCCATATTAGGATTAAGCAACCGTTTACTGATCGTTTTTGCTTTTTTTTTTGAAATTTCTCAATGTAGTATAACTCAGTGTGTTCACAGATGTTTATATTTTCAAAATCCATAAGGTATTTAAACTTCACCTGTTTTTTAATCCTCAAGGAATATGTTTTCAAGTCATTTGGGCGTAATCATTTGTTTCTAGTTCTATGTAGTGTAAACAACTTCTGTTGTTTTGATGATGAAATGTTCCTAATTTTCAATCAATATAAATCGAGGTGTAATCCGTTCATACATTAAAGTGTAGATGATATTTATTTTAAACAGATGTTGTCAATAATATAAATCATTTGTAAGACATTTGAGTTATAAAAACGAGTAAATAACTGATAATCACACTTGGAAACAGCTCAGCGGAGTACTTCGTAACACAGTACAAACAATAGAAATTTTAACTGAGAATTTCAATTTTATGCTACTATACTATGGATATTACATAGTTTATTTTATTATATTTATGATAATAGTATGACCGCAATAATATGTGCTCTCATATTAATTACCTCTCGAAAGATCAATAAAACTGATTGGTGATCTAACTCTAATTATTATCTCTTACCCTTAATATGTAAATTATTTAAATAATGAAATAGATTATTTTTCATTGAAATCATGAACCGATAAATGTTATACCAGTAATAAAAATCTGGAGGCACTGGATGCTCATCTCGTTTTAGTACGGGACATCACAGCAGTACGCATCCACTACACTGAGCGTGACAACAGAACCCAAGAACTTCGGTCTTGCGCACAAACACTTAGATTCTAGACCACAGAGCAAGCATACGTCGGTATTATTGTCTGACTTCAATCAATCTATGATACTGAGCGACCATCTTTCATTGCCTTCAGTGCGTAACTGCCTCACATCCAACACGATTGAACTTCATTGGTCACAGCTTCTCGCTAAAACTCTTAGAGTCTTTCTCGAAGCTAGTTACCAGTGACTACATGATAATCCTTAGTATAGTGTTGTCGAGATTGTTGAATTTTATTAAATTCATGAACCTATCATTGGTGGCTTAACATTGATTAAAAAAACTCAGCAATCTCCACAACCTTATGCCGAAACAGATTATAATAAGAAAGATAATTTTGATAAACAATGGAAAATGATCACAAAACATCATTATTTCATTGACCATGGAAATCTTTGGCAATTTGTTTCACAATACTCTATTATTATGTATTATTTATTTATTTGAACACATAGATATTGGTACGAGGAGGCACCAAATACAAATATGCACCACACAGATCTCATTTGATATGTGTGAGGGTTGTGATACTGCCCGTGTGCCCAAACCAAGGCAGGTGGTTTTCTCAGAATGCCACACCCGGAACCTTTGACCTGAAGGTCTGATCCACAAAGCAGTGGAGCAACGTAAGGAGATGCAGTCCCATGTTAGCCGGTGACCAACGATTGGTTCACACGCCATTTGTTTTTTCAGGATACTGGAGCCCATGTGCACCATTGGTTTGGAATCAGGGTTTTCCAACTTCCCTAGGTGGACTCTCCATGTCCACCAACCCGGTTAAAGCGCCAGACATTCGCTTTTCGTCCTCTCAATTTCGTAAACAACACCCCCGCCACAAGAAGGTAGTGAGTAGGACTTCCCTGGAAGAGGCTATATACGCGTGGCCATGTGAGAGCATTTCGAGAGGGAGAGCGGACTCTCCCCACTCTCGGCCGTACCAGAGCATTTGGGGGCTCACAATACTCTACATTTGCTTGATGTACACAAGTATACAGACAAGCTGTTTCAAACTTCATTTATCTGATTTCAGTAGATGTAGTCAAGTGGCCGTATAAAACAAACTAAAACTCCATATATTAGTCCAACCTAAAGAAACACTTATCCAACTCATTAAAAACCTATAAAATATAATTAAAATCGTCCTAGGAACTCTAGAAAATAAATTTAAAGTCACCCATATAACTATGTACATCAAATGACATTTTAATTTGTAACTTTTAAACCTCATTTAATATTCTATTCCAATCATAATATTTGAATAAGGTCACAATTTAAGTACTTTAATATCATTCACATTCATTATTATTGACATTTGAATAACATTCTTTCAACCTTCTTTTATTTAATTAAATCATAATTATCTATCATAAGTACAAAAGTGTTTTACCAATTGTATGATTAATGATATTGTCATTTATCTTTAGTAAACTATAAAAAATATTGTACTTTCAGAAAGGGTTTTGTGTATTTTGTTGTTTCTTTCATATTTTTTTTTTAATAAATAAACAAATTACACATAGGATGAAGATCAAGAAATTGAAAAAAAATTTATGGCTATCCGTGATCCAAAAACTAAAGCTATAAATGCTGTTAAATTGGCTGAACTTTTAAATAATAGTACATTACAAGGTATGTATAAAAGTATTTTCATTTCAGTAACATATACTGATGATTCATCTTGTTCAGGATAGGTAGTTCTTAAGAGAATTTTAAGAAATTGAGCTATTTACTTCTTTATGATATAACAGTTCACTTTTCATAATATAGTATAGTCATCACGATATATTATTATAGGACAATACCTATCCTATCGTTGAATTAACTTTTAAAGGCAGATTACAACTTATACTTATAACTGGTACTGACTTCATTGCTGGTTGCATAAATGGGATATTGTAGTGTCGGCTATTATGTTAAGCCCATATACCTTATTCTAGCTTTCGGACAGCCCTTCTATTCATTCTACTTGAGTCACGTCCTGACCTTGTTATTTATTCGCTTATCAATCTTGATTGTTTTTATATGAGCGCGTAGCTGTGTGTACATTTCTTATCCCATTACTCATCACATGTCTGTAACTTACATTTGTGTAACTATAATTATTGATTAACGCTTGGTTAAAGGGGAGTCAGCTTACCAGTCATCTGCACTGCGCGTCGTTTTACTTCGTTCTATTCCATTCGCTCTATGTACAAAATATATGTATTCAGAAGTTCATTCTCGTTATTTGACTTATTTAATTCCGTTATTGACTAACATGATTTAAGTCGATGATTATATACGAGGATAGGCGACATATATATTTCAATAACAATCATTCATACGACCGAATTAAAGTCAAAACTCGCGCCACTAAAGTGGAAAGTCCGCCAACAAACATCATCCGATCTAAATGACAAGACGACGGGCCTCACAATATAATCGCTCGATTTTCGATTAAGGTATTCATGTGTAACAGATTGAGCTACAGTTTCAAATGATTAATCTGAAATGACGGTAGTGCGGTCACTTTCATGATGATTTTAAAAAATCAGAAATCATCCACAACCCTTATAATGAAATTGAACATAAGTTTCAAACTATTTAAATTCCCTACAATATTATTACTGCTTTTCGTTAAAAAAATATTACTAAATTTGGCTATTGATGTTGTGTGGTCAAAGACCTGAATATGGATAGTAAGTTTGGTGAAACGCGTCAGTAACGTGTACCCATAACCTTGAAAACAACTGGTAAAAGTCCAAAATTCACAATTCGAATAATTTAGCTTAGGAATTATAACCTTAATCTCTGATGATAAATTGATCAAGTAACTTTGATATAGCTTCAATACGATACCATCATACTAAAGTACCTTAGTAACCAAGAAGCAGATGTTAGCTATTTAGTTATACGTTATAAATGTATTTTATGATAAACTTTGCACATTTTTAGTGCGGTCAACTTTATAATTCTTATTCTTTCTAACCGGTATCATCTTTCATACAGTTAAGTATAATATGATATAGAATTCAAACTTCATCAACACAGTATGCCAATGATGACTAGTAACTTAAAATGGGAAAGTATTCGTATAAAATAATATTTAAAGTAGAATAAATAGATTAATATAATTATCTTCTATCCTAAATTTTCGAGTTTATATTAGAAATTCGTTTAAAACAATAAAATACTTTATAATAAACATTCTAAATCAATTCATTCATCAACTTTAGATATGAAAGTTTGATTTCAACCAAACAATCAGCCTTCAAACAAACTATTCATAAATTTAACATTTATTTCTTCTTTTCTTTTCTCTTCATTATAGATATCCCTAACTTTCAAGGATTTAATAAAGAATTATGTCGTAGTATGGTTGCGTCTGTAGATGTATCCTTCATCACGTTTTACTATGATTCTATTTTAAGTCAGTATAATCTTGATAATTTTAGAGGAAATATATACCTCTATAAGAATCTAGTATAATATAATTATCAGAAGGGTTTTGTGGAGATTTTAATAATTTCAATAGTTGAAATCATGAGTCAGTTGAAGCTAGACAATTATGGAAAACCTGAAAGCACTGGACGGCCGTTTCGTCATAGTATGGGACTCCTCAGCAGTGCGCATCCGTGACCAGTGGAGTTCAACCAGGTCTGTTGTGAGATATCAGCTCACTGAAGTCAATGGTGACGGTTGCGCAATTTCGTGAATTGGTTGAAGTTAGACATTAACACCGTTGGATGCCATCCGGCTCAGTGGTCTGATGGTCAAGTGCTCGCGTGTGAGACTGATAGGTCCTGGGTTTGAATCCCGTAGTGGACGGGATCGTGGATGTGCACTGTTGAGGAGTCCCACACTAGGACGAAACAGCCGTTCAGTGCTCCCAGGTTTTCCATGGTGGTCTAGCTTCAATTGACTCATGATTTCAACTATTGATATAATATAATTGTTCATTGATACTCACCTGTAAAACAGAGAGTACTAGGAATGCGTTTTATAGTTGCTTATCAAAGAAAAAGAAACAATACTTGAAATAACATTTATTTATAAATGTCAAATTATAATACTATGTAACATATTCTTAAGTATGAGTGCTTTGCCTACTTTAACAGAAAATATGGTTTAAGATTAAAACCATGCATTCTGAAACTAAATTATTCGTAAGAATTAGCAACTAGTTTAAAAAAAAAAGAATGTAAGATGATTTTCAGTTGAATAGCTACTGAAAAAAAAAACAAATCGATATATATGTGTCAGCAAAATGTTTGCCAAAACGCCTACAGATGTGTGAGCTAACTACTTATATCTGGATGCTGAATTGAATTCCACTTTTGTATCACATCCATATCAAATAAATTGAAAACAAATAACCAAGTGATAAAATACCCAGCAAAATATCGTTCTCACACAGAAGTGTTTACGATATTCTTGTAATTTAACTGAGAGGTACATTTCTTTTACAGTAGATACTATGTGTCTGTCAATCATTTTTGTAGAAAGAAAATATATCTCTTAAGTAAAATGAATAGTTATATGGTAAAATTTATCTCCATTGATATTACTCATCGGAAAAAGATCACTAATGATGTAATTACTAAGACAAAATCATCATTATTATTATAACACAGGATATATTTAACAAACTTTAAATGTTAGAATTCTATAGTGTAGATTAGAACAATCCATATGGGTGAAAAATAGTGTCTAAAAGTAAAGCTTCATTAGAATTTACTTTAATATACAGTAATATTTATGTGTATGTACGGAAATATTCAAACAATCCTTCCTCGAGGCTACAGTTCAACTGAGATATGGTCAGTGATTTACTACTGGATAAACTGACTAGAACAGTTAAGAGGACTTCATACGCATCCAGTCTCTGTCTATTATTTTCTAGTCAACCTTCATCGGTTCTTCAAATAAAGAGTAAGTGACCTAATTTTACCACATACAGGTGTATTTACAAACTCTGCTGTCCTTGTAGAGAAAGCTTCACATGATTGAAAACCAGAAAAATTAGCCTATGAATTTGAAAGTACTTACCTTCATGGTTGGCGAATGGTGTGAAAAAAATCAATAATCAGCTCAACTCTATCACAATTGGTTGATAGCGATCATTTTATAGAAAAGACTAAATCATTCCGAGTAATGTATTTTATGTTTTGAGATTCGATTTCGTATTCTGCATATAGTGGAAGCTATAGGGATTCGAGCCAAAACCTTTAGCCTTTGTATTTGAATAGAATTTAAGATACTCTTATTTCTTGGCGGACCAGAAAAACGTTCAACAAATAATTTTCTATATGTTAGTTTTTCTCCACTCGATTTTTTGTACATATTCTTCTCTGCCTAATGGTTTCAACACTTTTTATCACATGATTTAACGATCTTTAATTAATGTTATTTCAATGTCTGTTTTTCTAAGTCATTACCCTACTTCCTGTTATGAAACAGTGATTCAAACCTTTATTGTCCCTATCACAACTAGTACACCTGTCATTAAACTATCAGTTTTATTTTTGCGTTGACTGTCTTGATAGTTCTAGTACTTTCGTATATGCTGCTTTAAGTCTGGTGAAAATCTAATTGGAAACAATATTGTTTGCATATATATGCTGTTCAGAGTTTCAACAGTGATACGCTTTTTGGGACAGGGAATAAGTAAAATTAGAAATGCGAATGTGTCAAAAATACTACTTATAACTTAGTTTGTCAAAGCTAATACCTTTATACTGAACGAATATGTGATATTCAATGTAGTATTCAATGATTAGCCCATGATATTATAAATGAATATATTACAACCTTCATAAACCTCAGTCAGTGAAATAGCATCATGACGCTTAATTTACTAACAAATCTCATTAAAAATAACTCCGTAAACTGTTGATTGCATAAAAATTACGTCAACAATGATGCAGAAGTTTATCGAATGGAGCTATTTGGTTTAAACTATGTTATAATAATCGGATCCACCTGAAGCATTCAGTAAGCATAGACTTTAATATTTCAACCCAAAGATAAAAATTTACTTAACATCGGTGCGTGCAAATCGAAGTTTACATTATGCTTAAGTTCGAGATCCTCAAAGCTGTTTACCACAAGTGTTCCCATAATTTCTAATCAGTCTTTCTTTCCGCTGAAAAATACCTTAACCTATGGTCGTTTATTTAGAATAACCTAACAGGTCAAGTTGAATTAAACGAATTTATGGATCTTTGGATACAAGCTAAAGGATGGAAAGTAAGTGATTTGTAAATGATTTACAGAATAATAAAATAAACTTCTTAAACTTATTCAACCATAAAAAAACATGGAAAACAATGAGAGCAGTTTTAAATTCTTTCCTTAAAACGTTTCCAAGCTCAAATTATTAGTGTTATTATCAACAATGAGCTTCAGTAAATAACTCTAGCTTGGTTTACAACATTTAGCATACTTAACCTTGGGTTTTTTCATAAACTAGAATTCATATCATATTTCAATGAAATGAGCCTTAACTAACTTCATTTTCTTGTGTAACAGCGCTAAATATAGTCTTTATGTTGTGACACCTATGCTTTTATACATAAAATCCTAGTTATGAGAATAAAGCATAATTATTCAAACGTAACATCGTAGATTCGTGCAAACATTTAGATGGAGTTATTTGAGACTGAAGACAAACAATATAAGTCATTTACTGTGAAATTTCTACAACTGAATTATCACTGAGTAGTGACCGATATTTTTTACTTTGATTCCGTCTTAGTGCTGATTGAATTTTAAAGACCAAGTTGTCGTCTGCCTCTAACCACCACTTTACTTTGAAATGTGTTAAAATTGTGGTATGTTTTGTGTGTTAAACGTTGATGAAGTTCATGGTGTCACCTGAGAAAAATTTGCGTATGGTAGCTAACGTTGATTACTTCATTTATTAGTCCACTTATTCACTGTAGTCTATTCATATTACTTAAACTCACTCGACTGTCGCGATTTCCCACTCACAAAAACAGTATTACAGTCCGGACATTTTATTTTGTAAACTCAGTTTCGCTTTTCATATGTTGGTGATATGATCTTCACTTTCCCTAATGATGAACAAGGAAAATTATTCATTCGAAAGTGCACCTATACACAACGATTACTTATGTTCCATTCTACCTGTTTCATTGTGTTTTACCGTACGGAATGGCAGCGACATCAACTCAATTTACGATAGACAGTTCGACTCCCTTATACCCTTATTCTTAGTGATTATCTTTATAAAATATCACAGCATTAGTTCATCAAGACACTACTCGAAGTGCCGTATTTTTTCATTGGTAACTGGAGCGTACGTTAAAGAACTCATTGTACCTTCATTCTTTATTTGGCTGTAGATCAATCATCAATGACTTCATATATCTCTAACATAATTTCCAGAATTGACTACTATTTCCATTTCTCCTTATTTTTAAAACTTCTAGCATATTTTCATAAAACATGATGTTGATGAAAGTGGTTATTTCAGTGCATATGAATTCCGTGAAGCATTGAATGATGCAGGTATATTTATGTAATAATTTATATCTTTTTTTAATGTCCTCTCATTGTTGATAATAAGAACAGCAAGTGATTAGTCTCTTTTAAGGTATGTGTATCCTAAGCTAATAAAAACTAAATGAGACAAGAAAACGACCCGCTTGATTTCACTATCAACCACAATCCAACGTTGCCAAAAAAAGTATTTTTCACTAAAACATTTTAAGATATTTCTTATACAACAATGAACGCATTTTATCTTTGTAACATTTCATGAATAAATAAATTTAACATTTTTAATCTATGTAATAATAAAATAATTAGTCTTTTTTATAAATTTCCATTGTGTAATAAAAAGATGGAGTTACTCAAATCAACTCTGTCTTCTCATTACTCTATCAAAATATGTGTAATCGACTAATTAAAAAGCTAGAGATTATTCTGTTTGTTAATACTACACTTACTTAGTTACTTACGCCTGTTACTCCTCGTAAAGGAGCATAGGCCGCTCACCAGCATTCTCCATCCAACCCTGTTCTGGGCAATTCTTTCTAGCTCCTTCCAACTGTTATTCATCCTTTCCATATCTGCTGTTATTTCCCGACATAATGTGCTCTTTGGCCTTCCACTTTTCCACTTCCCTCCAGGATTCCAAGTCAGGGCTTGCCTTGTGGTGCAGTTTGATGATTTGCGTAATGTATGTTCTATCCATTTCCATCGTCTTTTCCTAATTTCTTCCTCAACTGGAAGCTGGTTTGTTCTCTCCCACAAAAGGCTGTTGTTGATGGTATCCGGCCAGTTGATGTTGAGTATCTTGCGTACACAACCATTTATAAATACTTGTACCTTCTTGATGTTGGTTGTTGTAGTTCTCCAAGTTTCAGCTCCGTACAGTAGAACTGACTGTTTTGATGTTCGCATTGAAGATTCTGACTTTGATATAGGTTGACAGACAGTTGTTTTGAGTTTCATATGTTATTCAATAATAAGAACGTGTCCCTTGCTTTGTCAGTCCTCACCTTTGCGTCTGCACCTGAACCTCCTTGTTCATCGACGATGCTTCCCAGGTATGTGAAGGATTCTACATCTTCCAGAGTTTCGCCATCAAGAGTGATTGGATTACTGTTCTCCGCTTTGAATTTGAGGACCTTGGTTTTCCTATTGTGTATGCTGAGGCCTACTGATGCAGAGACTGCTGCTACACTAACTGTCTTTATCTGCATCTGTTCGTGTGTATGCGATAGGAGGGCTAGGTCATCTGCGATGTCCAAATCGTCTAATTGGTTCTGAGCTGTCCATTGTATTCCGTGTTTTCTCTCAGATTTCGAAGTCTTCATAATCCAGTCGATCACCGAAAGAAAGAGGAAGGGAGAGAGTAGACAGCCTTGTCTGACTCCGATCCTTACTTGGAATGTGTCTGTCAGCTGTCCTCCATGCACGACCTTGCACTGTAGTCCGTCATATGGGTTCCGAATAATGTTGACAATCTTCTCAGAAGTTTCCATAACGTCCTCCTATCTACACTGTCAAACCCCTTTTCATAATCAATGAAGTTAATGTAAAGTGACGTGTTCCACACAAATGATCGTTCGACGATGATCCATACTGTCACAATTTAAATAATATAACTAGTCAAAACAGTTTGTTAACGCAATAATGTTATTGCATACAATCAGAAAGATTAACTTTAACCTCAACTGACAATAACTCCAAACTTTTTCGTTTACAATTATACTTGAAAATAACTTTAACACACGATCAAAACTATCTTCCAACTAAAAATTTAATACATTTATTTATATAAATAAATGCCAAGTATATTATATCTAAAATGAAGAGTATTTGAGCGAACAATTGTTTCCAATATCTTCATCATCAGGCTCTGCAGTTATAAGTCCATAATTATGATATTGTACAAAGGTCAAAAATAAGGCATGTAATAATGAATTTGACAATGTTATGTGTTAAAAATGGTATTATTTGACAAATTAGAAAGGTCATTCAATAAAGGTCAGGATGATTTGGAGTAAAGTGTTCAGTCATATGTGTTATATTAAATCTAAATAAACTTAAATAGATTCAAACATATCTCACTGAATATTATAACAATTCAGTTGAAATGATACAAAATCAATAAAGAATTATTGAATAACAATATAATCGATAATATAAAATATTGATAATTATCATTATAATTTGCATTTTATAGTCTGTAAACATTTTATTACCATTTGAAATACCGCAGTTTCTAAATCATTTTATTTCATACAATTAAATTCTATTTGATTATTTAAACAAATACTTAATATGAAATATTCTTTTCATGAATTGAACTACTTTTTTCTCTCTTAATTTCTAGGTTATCATGTGAGTAATCGATTAATCAATGCCATTATAAATCGATATCAAGATCCTGGAACAGATAAAATCAGTTTTGAAGATTTTATGTTATGTATGGTTCGACTTAAAACTGCTTTTGAAACAATTGAAGCACATCCAAAAAATCTTGAAGGTACATCACTTTTCAGTGCTGAAGATGTAAGTTACAGAATTCTTTTTTTTTTCTTTAAGGTAAACTAGTAGTTTTTTCCACATACACAAGTTTGTAGTTATTCAAATTAGTTAAGTCTTTGATTGAACCTATTTGCCAGACAGATAATGTTATTTTAGTCCATAATAATTCGCCTATATTATATATATAATACTTGTCTTAATGAGTAAATAAGACTGGGATGTATGTGGCAGTCTACATATCACGCGCTTAAATGTTATAATTACTGGGAGGTTTAATGTCGCGTTAGTGAACATACAAATATCTGCTTCTAAAACTACATTAATACACTAAGTTTCTCGTTTTGCTGTATTCTGATAGTACAATGTAAGCTTTGTTCTGAAATAAACATTTTTGACAAATTTGCTATGGCTTCTTGAAACTATACACTGTCGAGGAATTAAAATGATTATGGTTGTCCGGTCGTTCGATCCACGAAGTATAAGGATGGTTGCACGGGTATTCACAATAATATGTTTTTTACATAATTTGACCACAATTCAACGAAATTATATGTATACAAAACCAAGCTGATCACCAAAATTATTTGACTGAACTGATGATCTATAAATATTACTAAGACTTACTTACATAAGCCTGCTACCCCACATGGAGGAATATAGGCCGCTCACCAGGATTCTTCACCTAACTCTGTCCTCGACAATCATTCGCAGTTGTTTTCAGATGCTATCCATTATTTTGATGTCTGCTTTCAGTTCCTACAACAATGTGTTCCTTGGTCATACATTTTTCTTTTTTCCTTCAAGATTTCATGTTAAAAAGTTTACATACAAATAATTAAGTTTAAATTTTATCAGTTGGTATTCAGATATTGATGGGTTAAGAGTTTAAACTACTACAAAATGTAAAAGTCTAGGACGATTGGGGTGCAAACGATTTCTTTACTCTTGAAAACTATTTAATTAATATTAAATCTTTTCTGGTTATTATGCCACAAAACCGAACAATTCTAATGACATGAAGTCTTTGAAATCATCCAATCAGTTTGAAAACAAAGTGGAAGATTAAATTTATTTCATATATGATGAACTGCCTAAATTAATTTGATAATAAATTATTTTAAAAAATAATGTCATTCAATAGTGTTGGCCTCTCTATTCAGCACGTTCTAGTTAAAACCCTTCCATTATCCCTCTTGATAATATAGTCAGTGTCTATGTCAAGTAAAAATAATCTCTTCATTTATGTCACAAGTACTTTGACGTTCTTTTAGAAGGTAATAGTAAATTTGATATATTTCGATATGTCTAATGATTGTAGATCAAATTAATTGTCATTTTCTTAACAAACCTCTACCACACTCAGATTTTACCTAATCTGGAATTAAGTTCTCATAATAATATTGTCCAAAATGATGTTGGAAGATTAACAACTTATCCATCCAACTAAAAGACCATCCGAGCTATAAATTTCTATATCAATTTAACAATAATTTTCCCTTATCATATCACCATGAATTGATGATCAAAGTGAAAGCAGACGTTTTCTCCCCAGAATTCATAGAGATGCTACACTAATAAATATCATTTAATTCAGTATTTTAAACCATCTAACTTATCAAAAACATCACTTTTCTCGATTGACAGAATCTAACTTAAACAGAAGACTGAAACGTGGAATTGCTTTTTTTAAATAACTAGATCTATTAAATTCTCAGCAGTTAACAGATACTACTTAAGTCAATAAGTATAATTAATAAATTATATTTGTTTATGATTGAGATCATGAACCGATTGTTAGACCACCGTTGGAAACCTGGAAACACTGGACGGCCGTTTCGTCCTATTGGTTGATGTTAGACACTAACACCATTGGATACCAGCATCAATCGGTTCATGATTTCAATCAAAAACTTAATAATCTCCACAACCTCTATACTGATGTATTTGTTTAGTTTAATCTATATACGTCTGTTTACTTTACTATGAATAACTAATGAAAAAGAACAACAATTAATAATCTATTTCTGTTTATGTTGACCAACATTTTTTCCACATTTTAGTATCTACGATTTTCAGTTTATATTTGATTCTGTCGAAAAAAACATCTACGGAATTGGACGAACCCCCTGACAATTTACTTCTCACTATCTTTTCTCGTTACAATCATATGTTTATTTATTTTTATTCAATTTAGAAATCTATATATTTAGACAAAGAAACATATCATGCCTTTTTGTTCAAACAATGGAACTTTTAATATAACGACAATAATATATCATATTAATTTAGTTTTTACAAATATTATTACCAATATGATATTTTATACTAGTTCCAACTAGTTTTGTGAATTCACTGTCTGGAATTCGTTGGGGGATCATTTTATGCAATGGTTAAACGTCACTTACTTGTTCTTTTGCGAAGAACCAGATAAACGGCCTCCAAGTCTTGTTATGAGTACAATGACTACAGACTACTGTGTTAAAATCCAATGATTCATATTTTCATCAACATTCACTTCTCAATACTGCAAGTCTATAATCCATTATTATCAGTAGGTATTTAGGTGATTTACTTACAAATTCAAAGACTTCATAGTTTACAACATTTTATTAAAACTTCACAAAAGTGTCGTCATTTAGTCTTACTTACTTACGCCTGTTACTCCTAATGGAGCATAGGCCACCGACCAGCATTCTCCAACCCACTCTGTTCTGGGCCTTCTTTTCTAGTTCCATCCAATTCTTGTTCATTTTTCTCATGTCTATTTCCATTTCTCGGCGTAATGTGTTCTTTGGTCTTCCTCTTTTCCTTTGGCCTTCAGGATTCCATGTGAGGGCTTGTCTTGTGACGCAGTTGGGTGCTTTCCTCAATGTGTGTCCTATCCACTTCCAGCGCTTCTTCCTGATTTCTTCCTCCGCTGGGATCTGGTTTGTTCTCTCCCACAGTACGTTGTTGCTAATAGTGTCCGGCCAACGGATCTGAAGTATTTTGCGTAGACAACTGTTAATAAACACCTGTATTTTCTGGATGATGGCTTTCGTAGTTCTCCAGGTTTCTGCCCCATACAGTAGAACTGTCTTGACATTTGTATTGAAAATCCTGACCTTGGTGTTGGTTGACAGTTGCTTTGAGTTCCAGATGTTCCTCAGTTGTAAATATGCTGCTCTTGCTTTGCCGATCCGCGCCTTCACATCTGCATCAGATCCACCCTGTTCATCAATGATGCTGCCCAAATATGTAAAGGTTTTTACATCTTCCAAATCTTCTCCGTCAATTGTGATTGGATTGGTGCATTCTGTGTTGTATCGGAGAATCCTGCTTTTCCCTTTGTGTATATTGAGACCTACTGCTGCTGAGGCTGCTGCCACACTGGTCGTCTTCTCCTGCATTTGTTGTTGCGTTTGGGATAGAAGGGCCAGATCATCTGCGAAGTCTAGATCGTCCAACTGCATCCTAGATGTCCATTGTATCCCGTGCTTCCCTTCAGACGTTGACGTCTTCATGATCCAGTCGATCACCAGGAGAAAGAGAAAGGGTGAGAGTAAGCAACCTTGCCTGACACCGGTCTTTACTTCGAACGACTTTGTCAACTGTCCTCCATGCACGATTTTGCAGTGTAATCCATCATATGAATTCTGTATGATATTGACTATCTTCTGAGGCACGCCGTAGTGTCGAAGAAGTTTCCATAGTGTTGTTCTGTCCACGCTATCAAATGCCTTTTCGTAGTCAATGAAGTTGATGTAGAGTGATGAATTCCATTCAATTGATTGTTCCACAATGATCCGTAGAGTTGCGATTTGGTCTGTACACGATCTATCCTTACGGAATCCTGCCTGTTGGTCACGAAGTTGGGCGTCTACGCAGTCCTTCATCCTGTTTAACAATACCCTGTTGAAGACTTTTCCCGGTATTGAGAGAAGAGTGATGCCCCTGTAGTTATCACAGTTGCTGAGATCGCCTTTCTTCGGTATTTTGATCAGAAGTCCTTCTTTCCAGTCTGTTGGTACTTGTTCCTCATCCCAAATCTTATTGAAGAGAATGTGGAGTATCCTTGCAGTTGCCGCTACGTCTGCTTTTAGTGCCTCTGCTGGATGTTGTCCGGTCCTGCTGCTTTGCCACTCTTGATTTGTCTGATGGCCATGCTGATTTCTTCAATTGTTGGTGGGCCAACATTGATTGGGAGGTCCGTGGGTGCTGCTTCGATGTTGGGTGGGTTCAGTGGAGCTGGTCGATTCAAGAGTTCTTTGAAGTGTTCTACCCACCTGTTTTGTTGCTCTTCAATGTTGGTGATTACCTTGCCTTCCTTGCTTTTCACTGGTCGTTCTGGTTTGCGGCGATTTCCAGAGAGTTTCTTTGTCGTGTCATACAGTTGTCTCATGTTTCCTTCTCTTGCAGCCTTTTCCGCCGTCGTTGCTAAATCTTCCACATATTTACGTTTGTCGGTTCTGATGCTCCTCTTCACTTGTTTGTTTACTTCTGTGTATTCAGCTTGTGCCTTGGCTTTTTCTGCTCTTGTTCGACTGGTATTGATTGCTGCCTTCTTGTTCCTCCTTTCTTGAATCTTATCCAGTGTATCAACAGTGATCCATTCCTTGTGATGGTGCTTCTTGTGACCCAGGACCTCATGACATGTTGAAGTGATTGCCTCTTTGATCCCCTTCCAGTTGCTCTCCACAGTAGTTCCTTCTCCATTGAGTAGATCATGAAAGGCCTGGAACTTGTTGCTGAGGACTATCTTGAATTTGTTGAGTTTGTTAGTATCCTGAAGAAAGGCCGTATTGAACTTTTGTGATATTGTCCGCCCCGTTGTCCAGTGCTTCTTGAGTTTCAATTTCATCTTGGCGACCAGCAAGTGATGATCTGATGCTATATCAGCTCCTCTCTTGGTTCTCACGTCCTCTATAGTCCTCCTGAACGTTTTGTTGATGCAAATATGGTCGATTTGGTTTTGTGTATAGTGATCCGGTGAAGTCCATGTGGTTTTGTGTATGCGTTTATGTGGGAATATGGTGCCGCCTATGACCAGCTTATTGAAGGCACATAGATTTGCAAATCTCTCACCATTTTCGTTTCTTTCTCCCAGTCCGTGTCGTCCCATGATGTCTTCATATCCAGTGTTGTCCGTTCCAACCTTGGCGTTGAAATCTCCCATCAGAATAGTCAGGTCCTTTGTTGGGCACTTCTCGACGATTGACTGCAGCCTATTGTAGAATTGATCTTTAGCGTCTTCATTGTAGTCGTTGGTAGGCGCATAGCATTGGATGATGTTCATTGAAATACCCTCTTTCTTTGTTTTGAACGAGGCTTTGATGATCCTTGGTCCATGAGATTCCCATCCTATAAGTGCATTTTGCGCTTGTTTGGACAGCATCAATGCAACTCCTTGTGTATGTGGTGCATTTTCTTCTTCATGGCCGGAGTATAACAGGAGCTCTCCTGTAGTTAGTCGTTGTTGTCCAACTTGTGTCCAATGTGTTTCACTGATCCCAAGTACCTCTAGGTTGTATCTTCTCATTTCTGCAGCAATTTGGAAGGCTCTCCCGGTGCCCACATTGTACGAACATTCCATGTACCTAAATAAATGGTCGCTCTGGTTGTCAGAAGGGGCATCGGCCTCGTAACTTCCGAAGGAATTCGGCTTTCATCATGAGGCGTCATAATTCTTCTAAATGAAGACCTTCTGACTCCCAGGGCAGAGTTTAAAAGGTTTGAATAATTTTTTCTGGTTAGCGTTTTTTTAGCGAGTTAGTTTTCTACGGGATGGGGACGCTAACCCCATGCCCAACCCTCCTCCTTTATCCGGGCTTGGGACCGGCAGTAGCCCCCGGAGGGACTCCAGGCGGAGTTCGTCATTTGGTCTGGGAATGATTATATTATAAGTTATATATAACCCTGTAAGGTGTTGTGATCTTCAGAATAGCATTAGTTTAATCAGTCAAAGGTTTAGTCCCCTCCCCCAAACTTGTTGCTCTCATCTGATTTTAAGCTTTTATATGATTATACCCAAGGTTTTTATGAAAATAGATTACGCAATATATACCCATGTCGGTATTGAAAAGCCAAAAAGTGAAACCATTTCTCTTAAAGCATCAGACCTTTGAGTGCCAAACTTTATGAAAAAACGATATACACAACTAAGTAAAAGACTAGGAAAATGAAATTTGAAAGAAAGCGTTATTCATAAATCTAGTTACATTAATGGAAGATTATTTTAAAATCATGTAATGAAGACTAACTTTACATTTCCCAGCATTCAAAGAATAATTTGATTAATGGAACTTTAACATTTTTCACTAAAACTTTTTACTAAAGACAAGGAGATAGAAGCTGAATGAAGAATGACATTATAAACTAGACATGTAACGAAAAGAAACCGTGTTGAATTGCAATATAGGCGTGATTAAAAATAGAACGACAAGTGATAATTAGAACTATCAAATGCACATATTGAATAAAACAAGAACAAATCTTTATTTGTCATAGTTTCAAAAATCTATAAACTTTCTTTACCAGAATACAAATAATACCAGAATGTCGCCACTTTCATCATTTCGAGTCGTAGCTGATAACGTACCACACCTTTACATCCTTTTATCTTTTTATAAATGATAGTCTTTGCTCCAGTCAACTATAAATTCGATAATCATCAAAGTAACCTGTTATGAACTATGGTCACTCACTAACATCACCTGATAAAAACACCATTCGGAATCCGTTCAGCACTAATAGGCTTGATTCAACACTAAGATCTTATAAGTATTTAATACCCTAGCTTCCCTCGCTTTCCTGCCTGTTACGTTCAGAATACAGTAATCAGCCTGCACAATACGCGTATTATGTTTCAAGCATGAGTAGTTTATATGCAGATATACATGATCACATCACACCTTAAAATGAGAAATAACAATTACACATAATCACGTCAAAATGAGGCAGTGAGTAAGGGAGATTGTGAATAATAAACTTGGAACAGATTAAGAATGGTATATCATACAACAGTTTTTAATGGGTTAATCGGAAGCTCGTGATGAAAGGGTTGTATATAATTATATGCATGTAATTTAGTTAAATAATAATTATACAATAATGATATGTACATAATAGTGGCCCATAAATTAACTCTGGCAGTTACTATTAATTTAGTCATTGTCGGATACTACATAACTAGGTTTTATTTCACATATATTTTCGAATTACGTTATATGATTTGTCCTGTTTTGTCCAAATGTCATAATTTTGTGTTAAAATGTACACTACTTACAAATTCACAAGTAGAGCAAATTACTAAGAAAATCACTAGCTCTGACCACGTGCATACAAACACTCAGTCTCAATCATTTTATCAGAGTAATGAACATATGGCATAGATAATTTGTTTTTATTTGTTTGAGGAAACTAGGAAGAGGGTTATTAATCTAGAATGTATTTCTTCTTTTCATCCATAATGAGAGAAACACCCTCTGTTCCTCTGAGATTCTAATCCAATCATCATCTGTATCCCAAGTTGATAGGGTGAGCTAAGGACCACACGTACAGCAGTTCCAAACATTTACTTTTAAGTTTGTACTGATAATATTTCCTAGAAAGGTAATGAAAGAATCACAATTATATCGTTCAGGATCATAAATACAACACCATAAAACACTTTTTTAAGCTAGAGAATTTCTTTCCCACTTCAAAATATTCCTTCGTAAATAAATAGAATTATCTTTAGCATAATTATCGTTATCCATACAAATAACTTATGTCTAATGAAGTCCATTGGCTGATTAACCTACTTGAATATCTAATTAATACATGAACTCTCAAATATACAAGAAGACAAAATGCATGAAAGATGAAGGAGAAACCACACAGCTTGTTTCTGATACAGTGTGTTACTATAAGTATCGTAAGTCGTAATTTAACTGTTAATATCTGTCCTTTATGAGAAATCAGTTCATTGTAGCACATTAATAAAGATAGACCACTACTACAGACTGCGGATTACATATCACTTAGAAATTAATAGAGACTACTGACTTAAATTTGACTACTCTTTAGTTAATTTCTCAGAAACTAAAACGACTACCGGTTTTTTCGGCTGATATAATTCAGAATTATTGGCATTAGGACTAAGAACTTAAAAACTTTGACTCAGCGGTCCAAAGGTAATGCACTTGCCACAAGAAATGACAGTCCTAAGTTCAGTAAGGTGTTAGTCGTAGATTAAAAGTAATAAGAAGAAGCGTCTATCTGGTGATCAGTGGTTCTCAAAAAAGTAACGTATGCATATATTTCGATTAACCTACATTGGAAGTTAAAATGTTCCTGAGTGCTTGAAAACCTAAATACCTCACTACAAATGCATAAGAATTGTTTGTAGTTTATCAACTCAATTGAGTAGCTCTCCTAATTATGCGTCCGCTTAACAATCTGTTGTCAGTCAGATGTGGTTTTTGAAGGTAAAATTTTTGAAGAAAGCGTGGCATTGCACTATCAATATGCCACTAAAACAGTATTTTCGACTAGTGCTGGAGGTAAATTTGGTGGATTCAGAGGATAAAGTGATTTTATGTTTGATCCTGATACTTTTGCGTGTCATAGGCTGATAATCTCATACCAAGAAGTATGACAAAATAAGTCAGACTGAAAGATTAACTGAGCCACCTATAATATGCAAACAGCCTGACCACAAAGAACTATAAATCTTTGAATTTATTCATCAATATTATACCAATGTACATTATAAACTATCCTATGGGCGCAAGATTCATGGTTTTTCCCATAGGCATCAGATCCACTATCAGTCAGAGCAGTCATTTAATTACATCTGTCCTGACATAAGATAAGTTTGACTAACTAGATGGGCAAACAACACTTTACTACGGTCGATGAAAGAAAACTAAGCCAAGTATCAAATAACTCATCCAATTTTAATTCGTGTAAAATAAATAAACTGAATAAATATTCTCGTAACTGTAGAGCTACTGAAATAGATTAAAGTAGTCCGAATCATAACACAAAAGTTTACTCGAAAGATTTAAGTTTTCCGTAGCCTGTAATGGATTCAATCCAATCCAAATAGGGATATAATGGTGTATAGATTGATGGGATCCCATTCAAACCACACTGAATTCCTGATGACGCAATACCAACAATGAACCATTTCTAAGGGTTAAAAAGAATATTTTGGAAATGACACTATCAATTCACACAATAATGCAACACTTAAAAACAAACTGGTATTACTTTACGTTTCTGGTGACAATAATCAGATAAGATATGTGTACTCCAGCTCCTTACACTTCTTCCCATAACCACTAGCTTGACTCAACAGTAGTTACTAAGCCACAAGGATATTCAGCATCGAAGATCGTCACTGTTGAAAATTCTTGGCGTTTTCCAATTTCTAATTTCTTAATTTCATTATATTATTGTGATTAATGTTATTTCAATGTTAAAAGATCCATTTTTCTGTTGCATTCCTTGATAAATTATTTCAACAAGAAGCCATTTCCATTACACTTGTGATAATTTTCTATACCGTACTTTTTCAATTGTATTACATCCATAATTAAACATAAAACAACTTTCATTAAAGCCTCATGGACATGACATCAGTTACTCATCAGTAGTGTATGTTTATCCTAGATTTCCTTTGAAAAACAATTCCTTCTTCCTATCAAAAAGAACTTCAACGTAAAGACATACATACAAAAATGAATCAGTCAAGATACTAAAATCATGTATTAAAAAATCCAACCTTTCATTGTGCTTTTCCTACTTATGCCTACTTAATTTCCTAGAGTCAAATTATATATACAAATAAATATTGATGTGGTAAATAATAATATTCAAGGCATGAATGAGATATTTCGAATGATAGTTATCGCTTGAATTATTTTGAATTCAATAATACAAATTACAGTAATCGCTGTTAAACTTCGTTAACTAGTTCATATTTAATAATAATAGTAATAAAGGAAGTTTGTCCTAGGCTTTTCTAATAATTGGTTCTCTTACGTTTATTGAACACACTCAATGCTTTATTGAATGGTAAGATAATCTATCCATATTCCCATAAAAGTTAGAAGATTGAGAGAGAAACAGAAGGAAGCAATCAAAAAGGATATAATATACAATTAATGAATAGAAAAAAGACATTGTTGTCTCATATCCAGTTTGTGGATAAGTGAAAATAATAATTTTGCTTTTCTCAACAACAACAAAAGCATTGATGATTATTTTAGGAAATGACCTTATTTCTACCGAATGGTAAATAGGTTAAAAGAAACTATCTTTAAATATTTATGTATATATAGTTAAAGGATATTTCGTTTGTAATAAAACAAAATTAAAAATAAAAGAGGATCAGAATATGAAACAAAACTATTTATGTTTACTTGGTGTTGTTTTAATTGTAACTTCCCATTGTCATTTAGGACTGCAATTGATCAGTCTCATGTTGGCATATGTGCATCCTGTGAGGATTGCCTCGATATAGCCTTAAGTCATACGCTTTTTTAAAGCAAAATGGATAGTGGCTAGCAGTGGAAGGTACATCCAGCTGACGAGTCCCGAATAGGACGAAAAGACGCACGTCCTGGATTCCACTGCTAGCCACTATCCATCTTTACTCAAAGCTGTTTGTATTTTTAGAAAGAGATTGTAAGAGTTATGATTGACTTTTAGTGAACAGTCTCTAGAATATTCCAATAATTACTTACAAACAATCACTGAACACAAAATAAATGTTATTGATAGAATAGTAGTAATTTTTATAACCTGATATCAGTTCAGTAAATTTAACTAAGAGATCAAAATTGAAGGGTTTCATTATTCGCAAATTAAGCCAAACAAACTGTATTTACTAGTAAGCTAATGAATTCAACAATTCATGGTTGTTATGGAATGCTGAATAGATTAACATTCAGTAATTTGTAAAATGTACTATCATTATAGGTATGTGGAGATTGTTGAGTTTTGATTAAGATCATGAATGATCAATATTGGACCATCACTAAAAACCTGTAAGAACGGGACTGCCGTTTCGTTCCAGTATGGGACTCCTCGGTAGTGCGCATCTATGTGTAGGATCATAGAGATTGTCATATGTTCACAGTTCTAGTGAGAACCCCTGATTAGTGGAGCCCAATCTGTGTATGCTGTAAGACAGTTATCGACCTCAGAAAATGAGTTGCTCAAGATCGTGAATCGATTGAAGTTAGACGTTAACACCGTTGAATGCCGGCTCAGTGGTTTGGAGGTTAAGCGTTCACACGCGAAACCGAAGGTCCTGGGTTCCATTCCCGTGCGCAGAATCACTGACGCGCACTGCTGAGGAGTCCCGTGCTGAGACGAAACAGCCATCCAATGCTGCCAGGTTTTCAATGTTGGTCTAATATTGATCGATTCATGATCTCAATCAAAAATGAGCTATACCGGTTGATATTCCATATCTTACAGTCATTTTTTTAATTTAGTCTAACATCTTCGTTAGATAGTCGACGATTGATTTGTCTTCATTTTTTTCTACTAATTCTAACAGATAGTTTGACTTATAATAATGCCCTATGATAAAAGCTAGCATTACTAGTGTACTTGATTCTGGCCAAAAGTAATATTGATTTCGGCAACAAGTTCGAATTACCCATGAGTTGCGCAGCAAATTTACTGAATTTCAAAATGTCAAACAATGGTCTTCGACTCTGTAGTTCAAAAGTAATACAATCAGCATGCAGCATGGAGTTTCTAGGTCCAATTTTGTGTATGGTCCTATTCCGACACCGATGAGTAGTCCTAAATAAAGATGAAACTTCAGTTCAGTGCTCACTAAGTTGGGATGATTTTTAAGCTAAGATCGATCTCTGATAAAGACAAACCTAATAATTTATATAACATCATCCTAACTATTCAAACTTGCTATGCATAAATGATCTACTCTACAGTTGCATGAAAAGCTCTAAATTGTACATGAAATACTAATACTTCAAGTGCATAACTATCCGATTTAACAGAAGTATTTATCATTCCAGTACATTAAGAGAGAACCTTAACAATTTACATAGATTATTATCCACATCATGTTTCAAAATGTAGCAATAAGTTATGTGGAATAAAACTTATCAAAACCATGAAGTTTTAAAGTATCACACTAGGTAGTTAATCAACCAACAGAATTAGCGTAAAAGATTGCTCTTCTTTCTTGGTAATAAATATGTTTAAGACAATTAAATTGTTAATTCAAGATCTCCAATTATGTTAGTAGTAATATTAATAATAATAACAATAATAATAATAATAATAATAATAATAATAATAATAAAAGTAATAGTAGTAGTAAAATTTTCCATCGATTTTGGTTATATTTTGGTTAATATCTGAAAAACGTGATTGGCTTATATTTTAGTGAACAAAAGCTCAAATATTACCTAACTATAATGTGTATTGTGTTAAAGTTTAACAGTGATTTTGGTTTCCACATCACTGACGTTGAACAGAATAAACTGAATATGAACAAAGTCTTGAAACACATAAATATCTGAGATATCACTCATCAGTATAATCCAACTGTGGCTTAATGAATTATTATTATATTAATTTTCTATGTCCACCTGATCTTAGCTTCGTTCACCGATCTCTACACCTTTTGAGCGTTTGTCTTTATTGAACTGTATGACAACCATATAACTTGAATTCACTTGGTATTGTTTACTTGTATCTTCTCGTTGCTATTTAGAACTGCAATGATCAGTCTCTTATTGGCATATGTACATCCTATGCAGATTGCCTTGATATTGCCTTAAATCACAAGCTTTTTAAGCAAAGATGGATAGTGGCTAGCAGTGAACTCCAATTTGACTCGCATTTCGTCCTATTTGAAACTCCTCAGTTGGATGTACCTGCATCTCAGATTTGATGTTCACTCGGGTACTCGAACCTAGTACCGTTCACTTCAAACGCCATCGCATTATCCATTTAGCTACTGAGTCCTGATTGAATTAATTGGCATTTATTAAAAACATCCTAATATATTTTCGCCGCTAAATTACTTGAAACAATCCACTTCAAAACGTGTTTAAAATAAACATCTCACCTTTATAAATTTCGAATAATTTTTTGATTCAATGCATAAAAGTGGTCCACCACTATCTCCTTGACATGTATCACCATCTACATATCTTCCACCAGCGCATAAATAACTAAAAGGACACTTTTGACCAATAGAATTATCAATCAAACTTTGTTTACAAATATTTATCCATTCATATTCTTGTTGTTGTTCATAACTTTTGATTTGTTTTAATTCTGTTTCTAATTGTAATTTCTTCCATAATTCATTACATGATTCAAGATGTACAAATGCAACATGAAAATCTATACTGAATAAAATGGATCAATTATATATTTATCTTAATTGTAAACTTATACAATTATTAGAATTTGTATTCTTTATATCGCGATATTTTAAATGACCAACACCTGAAACTATACATATATATTCTTGACTACTTATTAGTAGTTTATCATTTATTAATAAAAAATGTTTCAATTCTTCATAATTATAAATTTCATTAGTAAGTGAATCAAGAATAGAGTGTTTTAATTTAATTAAACCAATATCTGGTGATAAACTTTGACCTTGTGTAAAATTTGGATGAAGAATTAATGCATCAATCAATTTTGCTTTATCATTAGGTTTAAAATGAATTGATGATTTATCCATGTATTGACGTAGTTTTGATATTTGAAGACTTTTAATACTACTATTATATAGTGAGAAAAATATAAGTAAAACAAACTGGAATACCTTTGAAATGGACTGATACAATGAGCTGCAGTTAATACCCATTCATTACTAATAAGTAGACCACCGCATAAATGCCTTGGTTTTACTGTTCTAAATCCATGAAGTGTATAACTTATTGAAACAAATCGATCAAGAAGAAATTGTATTAAACTTTCTGGAATTTGTACACTATGAAAAAAGTAATTCTGTGCTATTTGTCTTTTGTCCTCTGAAATATCTTCTACTGATTGTTTAAATTCAGGAGTTTTATGAGGTGGAATGGTTTGTGGTTGACTACTGATACTAATAATTTCTGGTTTCATAAAATCCACTTTTCCATTCTGATTTACTATTAACTGATGACCTCCATAAATGACGGGTTGAATGACGCTTGAATAATTGCAATTCACAGTATCTGTAAGATGCAAAAAAGATCTGAACTTTATTTTGTTTAAAAATAAAGAGAATACTTTAAGTTGGTCAACTTACAATCAAACCATCACCTTAAAATCGATACTACAAAGAATTTACATCTACGGTGAATCAGGAATTACCTATTACATTTAGACCATTTGGATTCTGAGACTTGATAAGAACGTACGACTGAAACCAATGGATAACACAGGACTAGTCTCCAAACTGATTTATGTCTTTTATGAGAGCTGTTTTCCGGTTTACCTAATCTCTGTCAAGCCATTAAAAGGAATAATGATTAACTCGCAACTATATTAGTAGACTAAGAGGAACGATGTTTTTCAAATTCTAGACCCTGAGATAGGATAGTGTTAACCATTCGTCATATCATAAAATGACAGCATCTGTAAAAGGTACCACTATCAAATCTGAACCTGTTAATTCAATAAATACTACCCTCACTAAAGAGTCGTAAACAAGAAACAATCATTTGTTTGTGATCGCCCTTTGAATTTAACAGTGAGATCTACCCTTAAAGTAGTTGTTTCTTTTAAATCCATAGTCAACGTATCGTCTTATCATCATACAACCAATAGCAGTAATAATATCATATCACTAACAAAGTAATATCACTAAACCATGATTCAGGTGGCCCAAATGTAAGTACAGAATTCCAAATAAAGTATTACTAAAAACATACAACACAGTTATTCGACTAAAAGAATTGCACATAAACACTAAAGTTTATTAATCGTGAGTCAGTCTGTTTAAAACCAATAGACTAGACGCTTGTAACAAAACTGTAATTTTAAAAACCAGGGAAATTACAGAATTTCGTGTCATTTAGGTAAAACAAATACAACTTGAACACCTGTTCAAAAAGAATTGACCACAGCTGCTACACTAAAGTCGTTATGAATGATACCCTCTAAAAGGTCAATGAAAGCTTGGCGATTAAATCACCGTTCTCAGAGGATGTAAGTCAAACAGAATTATCATCCTAAAATCTACAAATACACTTCATAATCTCACAAAATATGATAGTGGTCTTTGAAAAGTTATTTTCGAACTATTATTGATACTGAGCTCAAAATATTTTATTTCCTATAAAACCAAATTAAATCTGACGAATCAAGCTTCAAATTTTATGCGACGAAAAGACGAATTCACACTTACATATAAAACGATAGGAAGAACGTGCCCACGATCTCCTTACAAAATAAAAATTCTTTAAGATTTCTGACCATGCTGATTTTAATAAACTTAAAAGAACCCACTTTACTTCTGTCTAAAGCTTTAAAAAATTATATATGTTTCGAATATATCAAGGACTTTCACGTAATCGAAAAGAATGAAGCCCTAGAAAATCTTGGTCCAGTGTTCCAGGTTTTCAATGATGGTCTACTATTAATCGGTTCATCATCCCACTGAAATATCATATTCACAAACAAATAGTTCAAATAATCATCTTTACTACTGTTTGTAGTCAGAATAATAAACTAAATATTAATAAGTCAAAAAAGCAAACACCCAAATCTTAAGACCTTAGATAAATTTCTTGCAATTTTGAGTGTAACAACAATGTTTAAGAAACATACCTTAAACTATAGTGACATCTGTTTTAGAACATAAAATCACTTAACTGTACCGGGGGAAACAACTTTAAGTACACTAAACAAGATTGAATATGCTAAATATATATATCATATTGATATATAATAAGTAATCAAATATATTAGATAAATTATCTAGTTATTAGACTGATGAAGATACTTTGAATATGGTTAAAATGTATGTGTTTTTTATGTTTTAAGTAACGGTATAATTTTTTCAAATTCCGCTTGCCTGTCACTGATGAATATTAACAAGTTATGAAAACAATAATAAAAGCCTCTAAAAACTGTCTGTTATACATTATTCTGATAGCTTGCGTAATGATCAGTAATTAACAAATAATTATAATATCGTTTTTATGTGGCGGATTTCACTTTTTCCTTTAACTAATAGTCGTTACCAGTCTTTATTTAGTTATTCTTCAACGAGAGTTTATAGATTTGAGAATTTTAGTCTGTAGATCATTATTATAGTTCTTTGAAAGAAGAAAAGACTTTGATGTTAGCTTTCATACGATATTTGCAGATACTATTGGGAAGATATTTTGGAATGTAATAGATTTGCTGTCCATAAATATTTTACAAAAAACAAGCATTGGAAAAGTATTTGAACATTTGCAAGACCCAGAAGAATCCTTCACTGAAAAATATTAGATATATTGATAGCACTGTTATAACTTGTGGCCTTGTGCCCTATAAATATATAACATAATGATACTGCCAATTAAAGAATAGTGATTTATCAATCGGACCAATGAAGCATAAACCCTTACGAGCAGTCTAGAATCCTTATAGGTCCTTCTTTCTGTCTAGCCCTCTCTGTTGAGTCCAGAATACCAATCCCAGCCTCTGCGATATGAATCATGTATTTCAAAACATATTGGGTTTATATGCAAACCAAGCAGACCACATCGTACCACAAAATAGAAAACAACATTTGTACAAGATTAAGCCAAGAGTGACTGTGAGTGTGGGACACTGTAATTAATAGACTGGGCACAACTCAATAACGGTAAATCGTATAATAATAGTCTATGAGTCAAAATAAAGCTTATAATAAGAGGAACATGAATATGCATAGTATAGTCATTTGAGAATTATATAATAAAAATATATGTATCGCATTGGTCCATAAATAGTTCTTAAAAGTTACCATGCGTAAGTCTCGTCGAGATAGAACAAGTGCTTACTGAGATCAGTTTAGCTTGGGATTAGAACAAAAATTCTGATAATATTAAATACAGTTAAATAGATTTTACTCAATGTATATTTGTATTTCACTTGAATGAAATCTCCCATCCGTCAATGTTCTCCTTTAAGCCAACACCACAAATCTAAACAGCAATTCAATTTTCATTAATAGCATTTCTAGGTCTTGTCTATCACATTATTATTTTTAAATACACTTTCCAGCACGAACGAAAAGCAAACTTATAATCAAACTAATAAAAATCAAGAAATGTCGAATAGACGTTCCGTAACAATTATAAAAACATATAATCAGTATGAAACTTAAACGGCACATCAGAAACCCCAGTTGCATTGTTGCATGAGTTGTATTGTCCATTTATGCATTCTAACTAAATTCTATCAATCAACTTTGACATGTGGCTAATAAAGTTAATAACTTGATTCTGTAGTTCATTGTTGAGATGAAGAATAACAAAAGATAATCGACACAAAAAACCTACTTGAACTAAGTAACGTGTAAAAAAGCAAGTGGATGATACGATTTAAGTCATGTTAGTTTTTTCACCTTGTACTTCAATTAATGATTGTTCGCCTATGTTACACAGAGGATAGTAGATAGGCTTAAATACAAAACACCATGAATCAGGCTTTCAAGTAATCAATACTGACTATAATCTCTAGATCAAATCGTTCACCATGATTGTCAAAATAAATAAATATTTTCTAATGATATTCAAGGGATTTTGGATAGATAAGATCAACAGATATAAAGTCATTTAAACTCACTGATATCCCCTACAATTATCGAGTCCTGAACATGTATCATTCAGTGAAATAGTTGGTAAAATTGACGCCTAAGAAGAAGAAGAACCGACTATGCTCAGGACTTAACACCTATCTTGTTATGAATAAACTTAAGTTAACTACATTACATTAAAACATATTAATTACTATCCAAAATTGGTTTAGTTTACTAAACTAAATTCAATCTAATAAATAAGAACTTTTGTCTAAATTTGATCAAATAGTTTCACAGTATTTAAGCGCTGAGTTGATGTGAGACATTAAAAAGAAAGAATGTATTTGTAAAATCTCAATGAAAGAATTTGAAGTAAATCCAGCATTTCACCTGGCAGTCTGATCCAAGCTTTTTCAAGGAAATATATTTCCTTTTTACAAGTACATTCTTTCTCTTTAAATTCAATCTAATCCTAAAAGCCAATTAAACACAAGGGGAAAATCATGGTCCTCAAATTCAAAACGGAGAACAGCAGTCTAATCACTCTTGATGGCGAAACTCTGAAAGATGTAGAATCCTTCACATAACTGGGAAGCAACAAGGAGGTTCAGATGCAGACGTAAAGGCGAGGATTGGAAAAACAAGGGCTGCATTCCTACAATTGAAGAACATATGGAACTCAAAACAACTGTCGGTCAACCTATATCAAAGTCAGAATCTTCAATGCGAACATCAAAACAGTCAGTTCTACTGTACGGAGCTGAAACTTGGAGAGCTACAACAACCAACATCAAGAAGGTACAAGTATTTATAAATGGTTGTGTACGCAAGATACTCAACATCCATTGACCGGATACTATCATCAACAGCCTTTTGTGGGAGAGAACAAACCATCTTCCAACTGAAGAAGAAATTAGGAAAAGACGATGGAATGGATAGAACATATATTACGCAAATCATAAAACTGCATCACGATACAAGCCCTAACTGGGATTCCTGAAGGGAAGCGAAAAAGAGGAAGGCCAAAGAACACATTACGTTGGGAAATAGAAGCAGATATGAAAAGGACGAATAGCAACTGCAAGGAGCTACAAAGGAGTAACAGGCGTAAATAACTAAGTAAGTAATAATTCTCCTCTTTCAATGTTTCAGAACTTTTCGAAAAAAACCCAATAAATTTCATTTGTACAAAATAATAAATGAAATTGACTGACAACAAGAAAATCAATTTATAATTGACATTAATGCTCTAATAATCTCAGGTTTATTTATTCATGAATTCATGAATGAATACTATTTATAGGATATACCTAATGATAGTTACATAGGGTATTATATACGTTAAAATACTTTTCTATGGGAAGATTTACGTCAAATCATTTATAAACGTATTCATTCAATATAATTACATACGTTATGTTGTGATACACTACCTGTCTCGTTTACAATACAAATATATATGTCATTCTCATTTCTTTATTATGTCACTATTATATTGACGTCAAATAGATAATGAAACTAAATATATAGAATGAAATATAAAGTCGACAAACTGCCTGAGGTCTCTATTAGTCACAAATGTTTTTCTTTGTTTTGTGTTGTTTTCTTTTTTAATTATTCGACAATTAAATTGAAATTTATGTAACTTATTTATTTTAAGAACAATTCTAATAAAGCAATTAGTTTATAGATTTAATATACTGAATATTATTCTAAAGAAAATGCACTCATCCTGATAGTAATTATTAGAATAGAAATTAGGTTATATTATTGATTATTTACAACATAATATGTATTATCAATGGTTAAGATCATGAGTCAGTTGAAGCTAGATCACCATGGAAAATCTGGAAGCACCGGACGGCTGTTTCGTCCTATTGTGGGACTCCTCAGCAGTGCGCATCCACGACCTCGCCCCCTGCGAGATTTGAACCCAGGACCTACTGGTTTCGCGCGCGAGCACTTAACCACTAGACTACTGAGCCGGCCGGTATCCAACGGTGTTAATGTCTAACTTCAACTAATCCACGATACTATGTTAATGATTGATGGATCATATTTTCTCTTTTTTTGATAAACGTTTTAACTCTTTCACACACACACACACATGCATATTGATACTTAATTTCAAATTGATTGTCTTAAATAAGATACTGATTATAGAGATTGTATATCATGAAAATTATGCATGTCATGATATGAAATGAATATTTTATACATTTCAAGAACTGATATAGAATGATATCTTAAAGAATAAATAAATTTTACAGTTTCTTTAAAGAACTGATAGGTTTCTAAAATGTTATATGTCAAAAATTGGTTTGTCTATTCAAATGGGGTTTAATTTGTTTGTTTTCTTAAATTTATTTATTCCTTACCTAGTCTCTTTACTTGACTCATGATCTCAACTATTAAGATTACCATAATATTCACAAAACCCCTTCTGATGCTAATCAATATATGCTCACTAGTAACTAGCTTCAAGGTGTATATCCTGAAGTTCTAGTGAGAAGCAGTGACCAATGGAGTTCAACTAAATCTGTTGTGAGATAGTTACTCACTGATGACAATGGTGGATGTTTCATTCAATTTCGTGGATTAGTTGAAGTTAGACATTAAAACCGTTGAATACTGGCCGGATCAGTGGTCTAGTAGTTAGGCCTTCGCGCGAGACTGATAGATCCTGAGTTCAAATCCCTCAAGATGAGGTTGTGGATGCGCACTATTGAGGAATCTTACAATTGGACGAAACGACCTTCTAGTGCTTCCAGGTTTTTCATGGTGATCTGTCTTCAATTGGCTCATGATCTCAACTATTAAGATTAAAGAATCATTGAATAACTGTTTACAGTATATACTTAATTTATTGATTTATATAAACATAGATATAAAATTCATATAATAAAACTGAAGTTGTTTTAATAAAATCATTGCGTTGATTTTTGACTAATATATATATATTATAAGATTTTAAAGCTTAACAGATTATCATCATCAACAACAACAAGATTCAGTAAAGTATAATAATCACAATTGATTGATCACTGGGTGGTGATCAATGTCATGTGGGTCAAGTTCTTATTTAGTGCAGATCGAATTGTGATTACATCTAAGTCCTACAGGAGGTTAGTCGCGGCCCGTATAACCCAGTGGTAACGTCTCTGACTGTGAAACTGGGTGACACAGGATCGGATCCGCCAGGGGCACCAGTTCCCTCAAGATTACAGGTACACCTTGCTGACGAATGTCAAGTAGCACGAAACTTGGGTCCAGAGTTTCCTGTTGACTACCTCCAACCACCATCTAATCTCAAAGTATAATAATGTTGCACTTTTGAAAGATATTCATAAATAGATTCGAGGAAGTCTTATCTTACAAATAATTCTTATAAAATATTGTTTTTATTTATAATGTTAGAATGATGTATTTCGTTGAAATTTAGTGCTTCTTAATTTCACAGATTGAAATCATGAGTCAATTGAAGCTAGACCACCATGGAAAACCTGGAAGCACTGGACGGCCGTTTCGTCCTAGTATGGGACTCCTCAGCAGTGCGCATCCACGATCCTGCACTCCACGAGATTCGAACCCAGAACCCATCAGCCTCGCGCCAGGCTCTTAACCAACTAGACGACTGAGCTGGCATCCAACGGTGTTAATGTCTAACTTCAACCAATCCACGAAGTTGCGCCACCGTATACCATTGTCTTCAGTGAGCTGATATCTCACCACAGACCTGGTTGAACTCCACTGGTAACGGCTTCTCATGATTTCAATCTGTGAAATTTCTAAAATCTCCACAAACAGCTTAATTGTTTATAATGATAAAATTCAAAACACATTCGGAATTACTAATTTTGATTACTACAGTTAATGTTTCTTATGTAAATCAATCTGAATATTTAGTTAATCATTAAAATAAATCTTCTTGAAATAGTCAATAATAATCATTAATATGAAATTGAAGATGAATGATTTATGAATTTCCGGGGTTTTGTTTGAGAATAATAATAATATAAAAAGATGATGTAATCATACTATACTGATTTAATGTTTACAGTGAAATATTTTAAACTTACATAATAAATTTATTATTGTTATAATATTGTATAATATAATCATTGTTATATTTTTTTGTTTATTATGATACTACTATTATAACTACTATTTAATTAATCTCTATGCACTTTTACCAAATTTCATATTTTATCAATTCACTGACATCATAATTATTTTCATATTCATCAATAATAACCCAATAACTATGTACTCAAATACATAAATAAATATGTTTAAACATGTACACACGCACACGCGCACACAAACATGCACACACAAACACACACTGGTAAGTACATACATATACAAAGAGACATTTAAAATCAACAATTCATAATAAAGTACAAATATACATATATGGATATAATACTTGAAAAGAGATAAATTGATTTTCTTTTACACATTTATACTGTTTCGTAATTCTACAAATCAAAATCAAATGAATCTTAATGTAGCTATTAAATTATGAATCCATTGAATGTTTTATTATTCATCTAGTAAATAACTGTTAATTATCAAGTATCCATTTATCTTAGATATTCTATAATAAGAAAAGATAAAATATTAAGTGTCCAATGTGTTCACATCCCAGAATTTACTCGAGCGATCATATGGATACGTATATATATATATATATATATATACTGTTATATTTTGAAACTATGCTGTAATCAAAAAAAGCATACCACAAGTTGTTTGCCAATTTCATCCTGTTTTTTTTGTGTGTGACTAATCAAATGTTATTGTTATTGTTTTGATTTGAGGTATTTATTCACATTCCATAGTTTATTATAATCCTAGAAGAGTAAGAAACAGAAGTATATATATATATATATATATATATATATATATATATATATATATTGGCCAATTTATTTTATACTGATGTATTGATTATTCGATGTTTTTATATAGTGTACCGTCATTATTGTCCATGAGAATGACTTAAATAATAACTGTACAGTTAAGGAGGAAGAATATCTTTGTACAATCTGGTCCAAAGTTTTTCAAGGAAAAAGATTGCCAAGTGAAATGTTGAATTTACTTTAAATTCATTCGTTGAAATTTTACAAATACATTCTTCCTCATTAATTTCTCACATCAACGCAGTGCTTAAATACTGTGAAACTATTCGAACAATTGGACAATTTTACAGCTAATTTTGAAATATGATCATTTAAATGAATTTGATTTTAGAAATATACTGGGTTTGTAAACATTATTAAACTATAAACTGGTTTTAATGTTGAATAGTTAGAGGAAATTCGATAGGAAGCAGCCAACACAAGATTCACGCTAGTTAGAATAATTCATTCAAGTGATTTGAATAAGTTATTGATACTTTTCATACTGTGATATTGGTAACTTTAGTTGCCTCAAAGTTACAGATATACCACGTTGACATGCCCCAACTAGCAGGAAACCTTTGTTCACAACATCCTACTGTTTGCTTCGTTCTACTTTATATAGAAAATTGCATTATTTTGTTGAGGCATTAAGACTCATGAATACATTGCATCTTTTTGAATGGAATTTAATAAGGTACCATAACAGTGGTTACTACAAAATGCTCAAGTAATTTAGAGTGGGTTACTTCATATTTCTGAGGAATGAATAAAGGACAAACATTCTATTTTTGTTACATATCATTCTAAATATCCCTTTGTATAATTTTTTATTAGAGTTAAAATCAGATAAGAAAAGTACCACTGACTGACCAATTCAAAATATAATGTCTCATTCAATATAAAAATTCAAAGCTTCTAAGCTTAATTATATTTGAGTTTGTTAAAACAGAAAAAGTTTATCCTAGTTTTCAGAACTCCGTCTTGAACACTAGTCGGATAATTAATTCTAAATCATAATACAAATTATTTCTATGTAGACCTATCATGCTGCCTACTTATTGGTTTTCTCTGATTCTTAAAAATGACTACACACAAGTCATGATGTCATTTTACTTATTGATTTGTTCAATTATAAATGTAAGTTTAGTCATAGAGAGAAAATTGAATATGAAAATTGTTGATAGATTTTAGATAGGTCATTTAATTTTACGGTTAAATTAAATATAAATATTTCCTGGAGTTCCAGTAATAAGCAGTGACCAATGGAGTTCAACCGGGTCTATTGTGAGATAGTAACTCACTGATGACAATGGTGGATGTGTCGCTCAATTTCATGAATTAGTTGAAGTTAGACATTAATACCATTGGATACCGGCCGTCCCAGTGGTCTAGTGGTTAAGCGTTCGCACACTAGACTGATAGGTCCTGAATTCTAATCTCGCAAGGTGGAGTTGTGGATGTGCACTATTGAGGAGTCCCACACTAGGACAGATCGGTCGTCCAATGCTTCCAGCTTTTTCATGGTGATCTAGTTTCAATGGACTCATGAATTCAACTATAAACAAATAAACTAAAATATAGAATAAGTGTCAATATTAACATTTTAATGTTCATGATATAATATTCTTCATTATCTATAAATAATAATTTCCTTATTAATACATATTATTATATCAACATTATTTAAGTAGTTACTTAAAGTATCAGGAATTTGTATGAATCATACACAGACATCAGTTTACTTATTCTCTCAAATGGTAAAATTTATATTCAATACAATCACATTCTATAACAACACTATACAATGAATGAAATAGGAGAATTATATTTTCTTTCAGTACTATAAATAAGAATAAGAAGTGAATGAATTACTGGTCAATTAGAAAAATAATGATTAATCATTTTAATATTGGACTTGTCAACGCCTATACTTATTATTTATAAATACTACTACTAATAATAATAATAATAATAAAGAAGGTAATAATCAATATTTTGAAATCAATACTATTGCACCAGAAATGTAAACATATCATATTCAAGAAGCAAACATGAAAATAAAATAGTAATATTTAATCTTCTTAACAAAAAGAGTTACAGAATATCTGAATTAATTCTTTTTTTTCGATTAATACATTAAGATAATGTCGATTTACTATTAGCTTTAAGTGTTCTATTGATAGTGTGTCAGTTTTAAGATTTGATTAGATTACGAATATGTATTGGTTTATAGTTGTCCAACCTCTCATAATAATAATAATAATAATAATAATAATAAAAGAGTAAAATTAACAAACTGAGATATGTAGGTGGGTAAATAAACACTAGAATTATGATTCATACACCTCCACTTTTGTAGTATATATTTTACAGCAGTGAAACAGTACAACTCGGTAAAACTCATGAGAATTAGAATAACCTTCATTGAATATTATCAATACCATCAAATATCAGCTGGTAATATTTTGACATTATTAGGTTTTTTGAGTCATATCATTTTGATGTACTGGATTTTATATCGTTTTATATGGTACCACAAGTCTAAAATCAATGAAAAATGTTAGGCGATCAATAAAAATGGTCAATTTTGCTTCTATATATGATCCAGTAAACTTATGAATTTAAATTTGACACCACTAAAATTAAAAACTTTACAACCAAGTCAATAAAGTAGTTATCCAAGTAAAAAGCAATTAAGTATAGTTACTGACTGATTACTTTATAGTAATCAATAATATATTTTCTTGCCCTTACTGATAGTTGAATCTAATTGGTAATGTTCATGATGAAATAGCTGGACTGATAATTTTCACCGATTACTATATGATCACTTTTACTGAAACGCCCTTACCTAATCACTCTAAATAAACATACAGACAATTTACCAATAACAAAATATCCAGGACACCAGATAATTTCATAATTCACCTAAGAATAAATACACAATATCTACATTTCTAATAGTCCTACAAATTAATTAGTATACAGGCGAAATGCAATACTGGTAAGTGGAACAACCTTGACCATATATTTATATATCAATAATATTTCAGGGAACAGTGAAAAAACATGGGTTAATGAACAATCCTTTTGACGACAAACTTCATTTGATATCAACTGTTCACTACCGAAAATCTTCATAACGTTTTCTTATAGCATTATTATAAAAACATTACCACCTTAAAGTCTTTAAATTATTTAGTTTCGACAAAAATGCTAAGATTTAGGAATTACTATAGTTTCATAAAATATCCCTCGATGGATGAGGGTGTTAGGCGGTTAACGGTAGTCGACATGAAACCATTGACTAATATTTCGAGATTCCTGATATTCATCAGCAAGCCATACCTGTAATATTTAGGGGAATGATGTTCCCGTTTTACACTGCTTCACAGCCTGAAACAATACAACTAAGCTACTCGGGTAACTAGTGACTTCGTGTAGGAACAAAATATTTACAACTGGTTGATCAGTGATTAGTGGTCAGTATAATGTAAATAGCTGAGTGTTTGATCGCCAGTTAGGGACAAAACGAACATAACAGTGATCACCACCCAGTAACCCATCATATATGAATAATGTGAATGTTATTTCCAGCCAGAACTGATAATAGTTGAGGAACTAATCAAAAGTAAGATGTTCTGTTTTAATTTGGGAACTTTTCTTATGAAACTGAGTTAAGAAAATAATGAACTGGATGAAAAGCTGAAAACAGTATCCAACGCTCTTTTAGGGTATTAGTACAGTTTCATCATCTTGATCGAAACACTTTAGGTCATTGACAAGTAAAACAAAAAGAGTAAATAAAAAGTGACAGAAAAATATTAATTCATTCAGTATTTTTTTACTTTAATGCAAAATAGGTATGGTAGTTAACTGAGCGATCAATTTGACCTTGAATTGGTTAGTTAAAAATACTGACCTTCTAAGGACATTGAAACAATGAAACTAAAGATTGAACTGAATGATATTAAACAAAGAGATAAGCATTAAAGTAAATGAAAACCTAAGAGGAAATATAATTTATTCATAAATGCTTTTCCTCATAGTCATTAAGAAAGTTCCGTTAAAGCTTCAGTTGATCAATCAGTCATCTACAACGTAGGACAAGGCACATATATGCATCGATCCAAGTTGCTATACCTCAATAGCACAACAAAATGAACATCAAATTCGTAGAAGAAGTTACTTCAATAGTAGTAATATATAAAAGAAAAATTACATGTAAGTATATGATACAGAGAGAAAGTATTAGCTCGTAGAAAGAAAAAAAAGTATTTATTCTCTGAAGAAGTGGCTTACATTAAGTCGCGAAACGTCAGAAAATCTAGTTTTTC